CCCGGGGGGGGGGGGGGCAAGGGCAGGGGCAGGGCCGGGACTGCACAGAGGGCACAGGAGGGGTGGGGCGGGCTGAGTGGGGGTGTTTTGGGGACTCGGCCGAGGTGGGGCAGCCTTCACGGGAGGGCGGGCGGCCCTGGCAGTGGGTGGGCACGGTGGTGGGTGGCTCGGGAGGAGGTGGTCTCCACAGTGGGGTGGTTTGGCACTGGCCAGGCCTGAGGCCGAGGGGGCCTTGCTGCAGTCAGTGTGGACGGGCTGCGGGCGGGCAGTGCCGCTCAGCGCTGGCCCCTCTGCTGCAGGGGGACGCGGGGCGGGGCTCAGTGATGGAACCTCACCCAGATCCTTCTGACCTGCAGCCCCGAGGGTGCCCGCTGCCCGGCCTCCCCTGACGGCACCTTGCCCTCCCCTTTCCCGTGGTGAGGTCAGCCACGGGACTGGGACCGGCATGCTCCAGGCCCAGGTCCCTGTCCCTGCCCGGCCCTCCGGGAACCGTGTTCTGCGAGGTGCCAGCTTTACGACGGGGACGGGACCAAGGTGGCTCGGCCGCTCGCTCTGTGAGTGGCGTCTTGTTGGCACAGCCACACGGGTTCCGCGGCAGAGCCGAGAAGTTATGGCAGGCCCTGGCCACCCGGTCCGGACGTTCCGGCCTGGCCCTTGACGGGACCTGCCCCCCGGTCCTTGGCCAGGCAGGTCCCGCAGCCAGGGAGCTCCGGGGCCCTCGGGCACCCACAGGGCCTGAGGGGGATGGGCAGGATGTGCGGATGGCGGTCGGGTCCGACCTCCTCGCTGCTGGCCTCGGGGTCAGGAGGGGCCCGCCCCAGGGCACAGGAACGGCCGTCCTTCTGTGCACCCCGACTTCCGGCCGGGCCCGTGAGCCTGGTTCTCTGGGTCCCGCCTCCCTGGGCCGGCGTGGCCCCTCTGGCCTGTCAGGGTCGTGCATTCTGCCCTTTGACCTCTGCCCCTGAGCACGGGCCGGTGGAGCTGTGTGTGCTGGCTCAGGGGGCGCTGCTGGGGGTGGCGGGGGTGCTGAGCAGGACGGCCCCTGCTCCCCGCAAAGCTGCTGCCCGGACCCAAGGACAGGCCTGGCGGCCGGCCACGCGGCCAGCTGGGACCGGCTTTGGGGGGCCGGGGGAGGCTCCGTGACTCGGGGACGCGGTCTGTGAGAGGAGCTTCCGGTGGAGGACGGACCGGCCGGAGGGAGCCAGGCCGGAGCTGGGCGGCCGGAGCGAGCGCTTCAGAGGCCGCGGACTGTGGGCCAGGCGCCCCCTGAGCCTCGGGCGGGCGGGAGCGTCGCCGTGGTTTCCAGTCGCCCAGACGCTGCCTGTGTCCACCGGTCAGTGGGGCTCCGGCAGCGCTGTCGCCCTCCTGCTGCACTGGGTCCGCTGCGCAGGCCCTGCGGCCGGGAGCCGGGAGCGGGAGCCGCTGGCCCGGGCGCAGCCCCGGGCGCCTCCCTGGGCACGGCCTGTCTCGCCCACTCTGGCCTTGGTCTCAGGCCCCTGCCGATGCCCCGGCTCTGAGCAGGGGCCGGGCTCTGGCGTGGCCTCCGCCGAGGAGCACTGACCAGCGCCTCTCCTTCCCCCTGGAGGTGGGGGTGGGGGCTGCGGCCTGGGCAGCTGTCCCACGCCGCGGGCTGCTCACCCTGACGGTGTGGGGAGGAGCTGGGTGGGTGGAAGGACCGTGGTCAGGAGAGGGGGTGTCCGAGGAGGGGCTGTGGGGTGCAGGAGGGCCGGTCGGGGGAGAGGGTGTCCGAGGAGGGGCTGTGGGGTGCAGGAGGGCCGGTCGGGGGAGAGGGTGTCCGAGGAGGAGCTGGGTGGGAGGAAGGACTGTGGTCAGGAGAGGGGGTGTCCGAGGAGGGGCTGTGGGGTGCAGGAGGGCCGGTTGGGGAGGGTGTCTGAGGAGGGGGCTGTGGGGTGCAGGAGGGCCGGTCGGGGAGGGTGTCTGAGGAGGGGAATTCCTCCCGTGGCGGGGGGGGGGTGAGGTGTGCAGAGTGAGCTGACCGATAAGGGGGCTCGATGGGGGATGGGGCAGCCACCAGAGGGCAGGTGCGGTGAGCTGTGACCCTGTGGGGCTTCTCTGCGACCCGGCCCTCCGTTCCCCCTCGCCATCTCTGTCTGAAAGTTGGGGGGTGTCCTGAGTTGGATGGGGTCCCCCACAGTCATGTGGAACCTGTGACACTGACCTTGGGTGGAAACGGGCTTTGCAGGCGTGATTCTGGTGGGTCCTCCCAGGGGTGGGCTGTCCCGGGGGTGGGTGCTGGGTGCTGGGTGCTGTAGGGCCTGGTCCCGCTCTGGCAGCAGCACGCGCTGTTCATGAGCGTGAGGCGCCTAGGAGGCGGGGCAGGGGCAGGGGCAGGGTGAGGGGATGGCCTGCCCCCGGGAGCCCCTGGCCGGGGCAGGCCATGTCGACCCCCGGGTGTGGGCGGAGGCGAGGAGCCAGCAGCAGGAGCCGAAGCAGGGTGGCTGGACGGCCGCGCCCGCCCTGGCGGGTAGCCAGCGCACGCGGCCGGGCTGGGCCTGCATGCCGATGGCGGGCGCACTCGGGCTCTGTGCCGCTCTGCGGCCTCATTTGCTTGCAGGAGGGGAACGGGGCAGGAAGGCGGCCCCGCTCCGGGCGTGAGAACCCGCCGTGGGAACCCCTCGCCGAGCCTGCGGAGGGAGCCGTGGGGCCAGCCGGCGGTGACCGCTCCTCGGGGCGTCGGCTCCGGGTCCGAGCCCCAGGCTGGCCTGTCCGACGCTGGGTGGCGGGGAAGCTCCTGTGCAGGTGGAGTGAAGGGAAGTGGGTCTCACAGCTGCGTCCACCCTGTCCGGCCAGCGCGTTCCGGCTGCTTTTCATTTACACACCGATCGGAAGGCCCGGCCGGCCGCCGGGAGAGGAACGTCGCACACACCCGTGAGCCTGCGCCTCCTGGTCCCCCCGGCCGGCCGCCGTGGTCCTGTAGAGGCGTTGCTGGCACAGTGGATGGGGGCAGCGAGGTTCAGTCGCCGTGTCACGCCCGGGGACGCGTCCTGCCTGGCCCGGGCTCCCTCCCGCCCGGGAGAGCGGACGGCGGGCCGCGGGCCGCGCTGCGGTGCCGCTCGCCGAGGGCGCCAGGCCTCCCGCCCCCGGACGGGCGCTCCGGCTCCGCGCCCGCGGGCACCGGGCCCGACACTCGCGGCGGCTCTGACTGTTCACGGTTCGCCCCCCGGTGCGAATGGCCGCTGGCCCGGCGCTGCGTGTGGAGCGGGTTCCGCCGCGTTTTCCAGACGCGGACTGCGCGCTCGCCCGTGACCGTTGGACGCTGTCCACCTGGTGCCGAGGGCTCCGCCCCTTAAGCCGCCCGCTGCCCTCGCTGCGTTCTCTCTTCTTTTGGCTTTTGTTTGTTTTCTTCAAGTTTATGTAACCTTTCAGCCCATCGGGAGTTCACTGCTCTTTACACACGTGGTCCAGAGGGCTGCCCCTGCCCCCCCATTTCTCCCGCCCAGGGCAGGGCCGCCCCCACCCCCCCTCCCGCCCAGGGCAGGCTGCCCCTGCCCCCCCCCCCCCCCCCCGCCCAGGGCAGGGCTGCCCCTGCCTCCTCACCTCCCGCCCAGGGCAGGGCCGCCCCCACCCCCCGCACGCCCCCTGCTCTCCCTGAGGCCCATGGAGTTTGAGCCGGGGCCATGTCCGGCCCTTGCCTGATCCCAGGGCCCTGCCGCCCTCCCGCCCTCAAAGCAGAGCGAGCCCCGTGCCTCTGAGTGGGGCCCAACCCCCGCAGCCACGCCGGAGCGGGGTGGGGAGGGCAGGCCCCTGGAGGGTGGGGCAGGCACGTGGGCGTGAGGACGGTGCTCAGGAGCCTCCTGGCACCGGCGGTCGGAAACAGGAAGCGCATCTGCCCCCTTCCTGTTCTCCGTGAAACCCCTGCACCCCACTTCCTGCCGTGTCCCGTGTGTGGGTGCCAGCCCGAGGCGGCTCCCGGCGCCGTGTCTGTGTCTTCCCGCCGCAGGGGCGGGTGGGGCAGGCTCTGAGCCTCGGGGTGCCCTGTGGAAGTCGGGTTGGGGGTCGGGAGGTCAGGCCCGTAGCCACGCGGGGAGCTGTGTGCCGGGCCGGGGGTCGGCCTGAGTGAGGGGGTCAGGCTGGCCGTGCAGGCAGGGCCACGCACACCCTGGCCCTGGAACTCGGGGCCTGCGTTTTCCGGGCGCAGTCCGGGCAGAGGAGGGGACTGGGACTCCATGGTGTGCTGTCCCTGGGTGTGCACATGTGTTTAAATGTGTGTCCATGTGGCCAGCAACCATGACTCCACAGTCTCGGGCCCCGGGGAGCCAGGCGGCTGCCAGCCCGCCAGGTGCGTGGAGACCTCAGAGCAGGAGGCTCGGCGTCTCGCAGCCTCTGAGACCCCCCGTGCCTGTGCCTGGGCGGTTTCTGGGGTGTGTGGCTGCCCCAGGCATGGAATCACAGCTCTGGCTCATTCATTTTTCTAAAGCAAATACTTACTGATTTCAGAGAGGAAGGGAGAGGGCGAGAGAAACATCAGTGATGAGAATCATGGGTTGGCTGCCTCCTGCAGGCCCCACACTGGGGACTGAGACAGCAGCCCGCGCCTGTGCCCTTGGCCGGAATAGAACTCATGACCGTCCGCCGGCTGATGCTCTATCCACTGGGCAACACCGGCTAGGGTTGGCCTCATTCTTGACGCTCAGAGAACTTTTGGGGAGTGTCTGGCTGTCCCTGTCCTCCCAACCCTCAGCTGCACCCCTCTCCCTCCCCCCCCCCCCAGCTGCGCTGTGCACAGGGCTGGCCCGTCTTTCGGGATGGAAGGTCCCCTGAGACCTTGCCCCCTCCTGCCCTGCAGGGCTCAGTGGACCCACTCTACGCAGCCTGGCCGGGAGCCGCCCCGCCCAGCGGGTGGGTGCGGGTGGGAGCCATGCCGGGAGGGCCGGGTCGCAGCCTGAGCTCTGGGCCCGGGCCGTGTGTGCGGAGGGCGCGCCCTCGAGGAGGCAGGCGGCCCGCGGGGAGTGACCAGGCCACCGCCCCTCTGCCCGCAGGGACCCCGAGCGCCATGTCCGAGTGAAGCAGCGGGGCTCGGTGCTGAACATGCTGAGGAGGCTGGACAAGATCAGGTTCAGAGGTCACAAGCGAGACGACTTCCTCGACCTGGCGGAGTCCCCCAACGCCTCAGACACCGAATGCGGCGACGACGGGCCCCTCAGAGTGCCGCGGACCTCGCCCCGGGACAGCGAGGAGCTGCGGGACCCCGTGAGTGCCGCTCCCGCCCGCCCCCTGGTGCCCTGCGCGGCGCCCCTCGGTCGCCAGGCTGAGTGTGGCCGGGGGCAGGAGTGACCCGCCTGGTCCTCGCCTGCCTGCCCGCCGGCACTGGCCCTGCCCTGCCCCTCACCCCCGTCACGGGGGTCCCTGGCCCCGGGCTGGGCAGCAGCCTTTCCTCTGCCAAGCGCTGGCACAGCAGCTGGTCCTCCCTCCGAGGGGGGTGGTGGCAGACTCCCCAGTGGAGGTGGTGCTGAGACCCCTTGGGAGCGGTGGTGCAGGAGGGCCGCGGACAGGGCACTCTGGAAGCTTCCGCCCCCGGCCTGCTGCCGGGCTCTCCTCGCTGCCCTGGGTGACCTCCCGGTGTGGACGCCTTGCTCGGGCCCCTGTGTGCCCGCCTCCGCTCCGTGTGTTACGGATGCGCCGTCGGGAGAGGCCTGGTGCCGGCAGGATGAGTAATGGACGGCCCGGCCTCCCGAGAGCCGCCGCTCCGGCAGGTGCTCCGGGCCCGGCGGAGGCGGAGCGGCCAGGCCGGGGCTCGCCGTGCCCCAGCGCCCCGTCACGGAGCACGGCTCGCCTGCACGGGCCACGGCGTGTGCTATTGGCCGGCATCAGCCTGCGGCTGGGGCTGGTTCCTCAGAAGTTGTTGGGGCCGAGGGAGGGCCACTCGGGAGCAAGAATCCTACATGTGGCTCCAGGCTGTGTGTGTGCGTGTGCATGTGTGTGAGGCGGGATCCCGCAGAATCAGTCTGGCTGTTTTCCACGCTCTGTCCATCCGTCCAGCCAGGCCAGTGGCAGCTGCCTGCACCCAGGAGCTGTCTTGATGGAGACCCTGACTGTACCCGGAGCCCGGCCCTCCCATGTGCATGTGCGTGTGCGTGCACGTGTGTCTTCGTGTGTACGCATGCACATGCATGTGTGAGTGCCTGTGGCAGGTGACAGCACAGAGGGTCAGCAGGCTGGGGCTGGTGCTAGTGCTCCCGTCCGGGCACATGGCAGCCACGGCATAAGAGTGCAGTGCCCAGCGAGGCTTCGGGACGGGGAGCGCCCAGGGCTGTGACCCAGGCCCCGTCCATTCCCTCCGGGTGTCCTCGGGACCCTTTCCACAGAGGGTGGCTGGTTGGCGCCTCTGGGCACCTGCCACTCCCGTCAGCTACGTGCCCCCAGGTGGCTGGTGTGTGCCATCCCGGTGGCCGTACCGGCCGCCCCCCACCTCCCGCGGTGTGTGTGGCCCACGCCTTTCCTCCGCTCGCTCAGCTGTCCTCTGGCTCTGCTGTCCTCTCTACGGCGGCAGGCGGGGGGCGGGGGGGCAGGAGGCGGGGGGTGGGGGGTAGGGGGTGGGAGGCGGGAGGCGGGGGGCGGGGGGCAGGGACGGGAGCTCTGAGTGGCTGCTGTGAGGCCTGGTTATGAGGGAGGTTGGCCACCTGTGTGTTTAGACTCCTTTCTCTTCATTGTGTGTCTGTGTTGTGGTGAATACACATCACGTGAAACCTGCCACGTGAGCCATTTTAAGTGCCGCTCAGTGGCATTTACGCACAATCTCGTGGTTGTGTGGCCCCCTCCGGACCACCACGGGAGGCTGGGCCGGGGACGATGGGTTTGCTGGCGGGCGTGCGCTTCTCCCTGGGGAGGGCAGGGGAGCGCTGTGCTTCCACCAGCCCAGCCGGGGGGGGGGGGGGGGGCCGAGGCGACCCGATGCGGGTCTCAAGGTGAACCGTGCCTGCCTGTGTGCAGGGCCCGGCAGGGGCGCGGGGCGCTGGGTGGACCTGGAGCTTCGAGGGGCGCCTGAGCTCGCTCTCTCGGGGTTTCCCTCCAGGCCGGTCCGGGGACCCTCATCATGGCCGCGGGAGTCCATGACTTCAACCGGACGGAGTCCGATCGGCTGAACGAGATCAAAGGCCACCTGGAAATCGCCTTGCTGGAGAAGCACTTCCTGCGTGAGTACCGCGGGGGGCAGGCCGGGGAGGAGGCCGGGACGCCAGCCTCCGGCCGGCCGGTCAGGACAGCTCCGCGGCTCCTGTGGACGCCCGCACGCCTCTCACCTCCGAGTCCGCTGTCCCTCTGCTGCCCCCCAGCCCAGCTCCGGCGGCTCTGCTCCCCGGGCAGAGGAGGGAGGCTCCCCGGAAATCGGATCATCCCAGCCAACCGGGCGCCGTTGTCTCCAGCCCTGGACACGGGCCTGTCGCGCTGTGTGTTCTGTTTGTTTTCCACAGCGAATCGCGAGGCACAGTAGCGTGTGTGTGTGTGTGTGTGTGTGTGTGTGTGTGATGGCCGCGGTGGAGTCTGGGCTGGGCTGCTGGCGCCCCTCCCCCACGGGCTCCTGCCCTGGGCTTTGGCTGGTGATCACTGAGCGTTCCGAAGGGCCCGCGGGTCCCTCAGACGCTGTCTCGCTCCACGTGCTGCCTTGGATCCGCTGCTGCCCCTGTCATTCGTTTATTTATTTATTTTTATTTGTTTTTATTTGTTTTTATTGATGTCAGAGAGGAAGGGAGAGGGAGAGAGAAACATCAATGATGAGAGAGAATCATGCATTGGCTGCCTCCAGCATGCCCCCCACTGGGGATGGAGCCCACAACCTGGGCAGGTGCCCCCACCGGGAACCAAACCTGGTCGTAGGTTGGTGCTGCGCCACTGAGCTCTGTAGGTGAGGAGACCCAGCCCGGAGGGCGGAGGAGGGAGTGCCCTCGGTGATGCCCTCAGCCAGGCTCACACGGGTCCCCTGCGCAACACGGCTGACTCAGGGCGGGTGGCCCTGTCGGGAATGGGGAGCAGGCAGCTCAGCCCTGAGCACCCTGAACTAGTCACGTCCGCGCCTCGAGGGCTGCCCGGGCCCAGGGGAAGGGCCCAGGCGGCCACCTCCTGCCCGCCCCCCCGGATTGTCTCCCACTCTGTCTGTGTGTCCCTGTGGTTCACACACTGAGCGCGGTGTGAGCCGTACCCGTGGGCACTCCGCTCCCAGCCACCCGGGCCCCGCCCGCAGGTGAAGGCGGGAGCCTCAGGGGGCGCGGCCTTCTCCCGGGGCGGGTGACGTCTCTGCGTTTCTGTGTGTCCTGCCGCAGGGCTGCAGTCTTGTCTTCCCCCAAACCTTTTCCTGTCAGCACTCCCCCTGCAGGTGTGCACGCGCACGTGTGTGTGTGTGTGTGTGTGTGTGTGCGCGCGTGCACAGTTAGTGTGTGTGCACAGGTGTGCAATCAGCTCTCTGTGCACGTGTGTATATGCAATCGTTAAATCTGCATGTGTGCACTATTAACTCCGTGTGTGTGCACATGTGGTGTTAACTGTGCAACACACCTGTGTGCTGTTAACTATGCGGGTGTGCACACATGTGTTGTTAACTCCGTGTGTGTGTGTGTGTGCGCGCGCGCAGTTAAGGCCACATGTGTGCTATTAACTCTGTGTGTACATGTATTAACTCTGCGTGTGTGCATGTGTGTGCATAGTTAACTCTGTGTGCACGCATGAGTGTGTGCGCTCTGTTAACTCCACATGTGTGTACATATGTATGCACTTAACTCCTAATGTGTGCACGTAACTGCGTGTGTGCACATGCGCATGCACTGTTCGATGAGCGCGGGTGCAGGCGTGTGTACTGTTAACTCCACATGGGTGCTGTTAACTCTGCATGCGTGCACGCATGTGTGCTGTTAACTGCATATGTGCACGTGTGTGTATCAACCACATGTGTGCATGTGTGCACTGTTAGCTGAGCATGGGTGTACCTGTGTGTGCTGTTAACTCTGCCTGTGTGCCTGTGTGTGCTGTTAACTCTGCGTGTACGTGTGTGTGCCGCTAACTCCACGTGTGCCTGTGTGCAGGTGTGTACACACAGCCTCGGTCTCCCCCGCGCCGGGGAGCGGGTGCAGCAGGTCTGGGGCTGCTGGTGCTGCTGGGCCTGCCTGGCCAGCTCCTCTGGCCGGCCCTGTGACGGGGCTTGTGCTGGGCCCGCGGGGGACGGTGCCCGGAGGACAGGCCGCTCGGCCAGTGGCGGGGACGCTGCCGCATCAGCAGACGAGCCTCCTGAACTTGGCTGTTATGGGTCAAGCGGCCAGATTCGGCCGTGACACACGTGTCCGTGAGCCAGCTGAGCCAAATGCCGTCAGCGAGTGGGGCAGGTCTGCGAGAGCCTCTAAGCCGGGGCTCCAGGGCGGGGCGGGGCCTCTGGGGGGTCACCAGGCAGGGCCGTGGGGAGCGAGTGTCCAGCAGGTGGGCAGTCCGCGGGTCCCACGGGGACACGGTTTGGGGCGCCCGGATCCACGTGGACGGCAGCTCCCGCCTTGTGGTCTGTCCTGTCGGTCGAGGAGTCGGTCCCGCGGTCCCGGGAGCTCGCGTGGCAGAGGGCGGCTCCATGGGCACAGCCCGGGCGGCGCTGACGGCTGCTGGCTCCTCCTCACTGAGGGCGTCTTCCCTTCGTCAGAGTGAGGGGGGGACAGCCAGTGAGAGAGGCGTCAGTCGATTCCCTCCGTATACGCCCCCCGGGGCCGAACCACATCTGGGTGTGCCCTGACAGGACGAGCCTGCAGACTTTCGGCTCAGCCCACTGAGCCACACTGCCCGGCCAGGCATTCTTTCTTAGCGATGGGAAACGGCAGGGAGAGACACCGAGAGCGTCACGTTCTCCCCCACACGCCCCCCCAGCTTCCGCCGGAGGGTGAGGCAGGCCGGCCCCGGCCCCGCGCCCCCAGCCCGCCCGGGAGTCCCCGCACGCCCCGCCGTGTCGTCTGTAAACGTTTCCTTAGGCAGCTCGCTGTGTTCTAGGAAGGAAAGCAGCGCGTCTGACGTCACCACGGAAAACACACGTTTTCTTTATGTCGCCAGCTTTCCCACGTGAGCCCACGTCCCCGCCGCCCCGCATCCTCCCTCAGCAGCCTGCACGCCGCGAGCTGCGTCCCTCGGTGCTGACCGCTGCTTCTCTCCCGGCCTCTGTGGGGGGCCAGGCTGTCTGTGGGGGGGGCAGGCTGTGGGGGGGCAGGCTGTCTGGGAGGTCAGGCCCTCTGTGAGGGGGCAGGCTGTGGGGGGGGCAGGCCGTCTGTGGGGGGGCAGGCCGTCTGTGGGGGGGCAGGCTGTCTGGGAGGGCAGGCCCTCTGTGGGGGGGCAGGTTGTGGGGGGGCAGGCTGTCTGGGAGGGCAGGCCCTCTGTGGTGGGGTCTCCACTTCGTACTTTGCTCAGGGCGTCCCATGGATTCCACACGTGACCTGTCATTCCCGTCCCTCTGGGCTGATGGGAGGGGTGACCTTGGGGGCCCTCCCTCGGGGTCCCCGCCTCCATCATCATGGCTCCGTGCCATCATTTCATGAGAGGTTGCGAAACGGATTTCCGCCTCCGCCTGCTCTGCACTCCTCCTGTCGTGCACGTTACTTCCTGCGCAGGCACGCGCCCCTGAGTCCGAGCTGCCTCACGGTGTTTCCCGAACACAAACACATCCTCTTGTCTGCACAGGGCTCGGCGAGGTCAGCGGTGCTGCCGTGTGGCCTGAGGCCCTCTCTGCCTCCCGTGCCCATGTCCACGGCGAGGGAGAGCCGGGTCCCCGCACACTCGGCGGCCCCCTCTCCCGTGGTCTCATTAGAGTGAACGGAAGGGAGGGGGGGAGAGAGAAGCATCGACGTGAGAGCCACGGTCGCCTCCCGAACACACCGGCTGGGGCTGGGGTTGAGCCTGTAATGCACTTACATGCCCTGGATCCGAGTCGAACCCGAGACCCTTGGGCCCGTGGGGCCACGCTCTAGCCACGGGGCCACGGCCGGGGCTGTCTGTGTGTTTCTGATGCCCCTTGTTCTGTAGACTGCCTGTCCCTCGGGTTGGTGTCTGCTGGCCCCTCGTGACGAGGTTTGGGGTCCGTGGCAGGTGCGGGCGCCGTGCTGTTGCATGTGGAACCCTCTTCAATGTGAGCCGCATCCCCACGCCGTCTGCAGGTCCCGGGCCGTGCAGACGGGTTTCTCTCCTGCGCCCGTCCCCTCTCCTTCCCGGGACACCCGTCTTTCACGGTCAGCCCTTCCGGGTGATTCCGGGTGACACGGACGCCCAGGCTCCTCTGTTTCCGGCTGTGCCTCCCAGACGCCACGGTGGTGCTTGTTCTCACTCCCCCGTCAGTATCAGTAACGGTGGCCCGTCCGCGCTTCCCTCCCGCCAGGCCCTCGAGCTCCCTCCGCAGCGGGCCTTGGGGTGTTCCCCTCCTGTGCTCCCCCAGTCCGAGTTCCCTGTCTGTGCTCCTGCCCTCACTGCTGTGCGGGCGTGGCCTGGTTTGAGCCACGTCTCTGTCCACGGAGACCTGTCCGTTCCCCGTCCTCGGCGAGCACCCGCCTCTGGCCTGTAACGTGGTTGCTGGGTCCTACCAGGCCTGCCGCACGCTGCCTGCTGCTGCCGGGCGCCCGTGCCTGGCCCTCCACCCGAGCTCCCAGCCGCCTGGGGCCCGGGCGAAGCCGCTCAGTGAGCCGAAGAATGGGTCGCCGAAGCCCGTCGGAGCTGGGATGGCTCAGGAGCGCTGCCTTCCGCACCCCCTCTCTCCCCCACTGTTGTGTGAACCCCGACAACTGTTCCCAGACCCACAGAGGCGTTTCAGCTGCCCTGACCCTGCGCGGGGCCCCGCGCCGCTGGGCCTGCAGGGGGACGGGGGCATGGGCGAAAGGCGCCTTGGCCAGAGTTGTAACCCGGGTTTCTCGGGCCAGGGCCCTGGTCCCCGGGAGGCGGGAGGGGAGGCTGCCTCTGAACCCCAGCTCTGTAGGAGCTGTGAGGCAGGAAGTGGGCTCCTGTCTCCTCGCTCTCGGAGGAGAGGAAGCCAACGGCAGGCGTTTGTGGCCTCTGTCCGGTGCGAAGAGCCGCTGTGGTCTGTGCCGTTGACCTCAGTGTGTCACTGCGGGCAGGGCCACGCCGCCACGTCCACGTCCTGGCCGGAGCCACGTTCCCGGCGCAGGGAGCGCGCTCTGAGAGCGGGACCTCAGAGGAGCGGTGGGGGCGGCGCTGGTGCTGATTTAGCTGCTTGAGCCACCGGGAAGGGGGCGCTTGGCGGAGGCACAGCTCACAGCTTTGCCGAACTGGGACGAGTAGGTCCCAGGCTGCAGGCCCTGCGGCACGGGCCTGGGTGCCCACTGCTCCCTCCTGGCTGGGGAGAGCCCTGCAGCCGCTGGGGCAGGGCCTGAGGCGGGCGGAGGGTGTGTGTTTGGCTCTGCAGCCCCAGGGCAGGGCAGGCAGCTTGGGCTGAGGGGGCTGTAGGGTGAGGCCCCTGCCTGCAGCCCCTGGTGTGGGCCGTCTGCCCCTCAGAGGCGGGCACAGCGCCTCCCACGGGTCAGACAGGGATCGCTTTCCGAGTTCGCATCTGCCCGCCGCCGGCCTGGCTGCTGCTGCCACGCGGTGGCCTTTCTGATGAGGGACCTGGCAGGGCGTCCAGGCAGCCGCGTTCTGTCAGGCGTGCTGGCGGGCCGAGGGCCGTGTCCGGGAGGAGGAGCGTGGGGCTGTGTGACCTTCAGGCGTCCCGGCTCCCGTTCGGGAGGACCTTCTCCTCGGGGAGGGCGCGGGGGCGGAGGTCAATGAGCTGCCGAGGCAGCAGGCGGGACAGAGCCTGAGCCTCCAAATATTTACCCAGGCACGTCCGGCATTCCGCAAACCCAAACATGTGTCCCTGCAGCGACGAAGCCCGGCCAGCCGGGCCCGGCTCCCAGAGGGCGTGGGGATGTCCAGGCGCCTCCCTTCTCCCGGCGCCCGCCAGGGGTCTCCTGACCGCAGCCTCTCCCCTGGTCTGGCCCCGCTCTGTGCCGGCAGACAGGGTCCTGCGTCCAGGCACAGCGGCTTCTGGAAACTGGCCTGGCCTATAGTTGTGGGTTAGGCTGTAGGTCAGGGCCTGGGGCCGTAGGTCAGGGCCTGGGCTGTAGGTCAGGGCCTGGGGCCGTAGGTCAGGGTTAGGCTGTAGGTCAGGGCCTGGGCTGTAGGTCAGGGTCTTTGCCTGAATGTCAGGGTCTTGGTGTGGCCCTGTGTTCCCAGGTCTCTTGAGATGGGCCAGGAAGAGAAGCTGCTACAACACCCTGAGCACCTGGCCATCCTGCCCAGGCCAGCGGGGGTGCCACTGGCCGCGGTGAGGGGCGGTGGAGGCCAGCGGGGTGCCACTGGCCGCGGTGAGGGGCGGTGGAGGCCAGCGGGGTGCCACTGGCCGCGGTGAGGGGCGGTGGAGGCCAGCGGGGTGCCACTGGCCGCGGTGAGGGGCGGTGGAGGCCCCCCTGCAGCCCTGCTTCCTGGTCAGACCTCGAGGAGAAGTCCTGGCTCTCACCAAGGGCCCTTGTTACCCAAATTTGGTGAAACTGGTCATGTTTCTGGGTCTCGGAAAAGCCTTCGGGACAAGAGCAAACGTGGCTTTTCCTGTGGAATTTCCATTCGCAAGGCCTCAGCCTGCCGACCCCGCTACCCAGGTGTCCGTGACCGTCACCTGCCCACTATCCGGGTGGCCTGTGGTCTGTGACCCTCACCTGCCCTCTATCCGGGTGGTCTGTGGTCTGTGACCCTCAGCTGCCCTCTATCCGGGTGGCCTGTGGTCTGTGACCCTCACCTGCCCTCTATCCGGGTGGTCTGTGGTCTGTGACCCTCACCTGCCCTCTATCCGGGTGGCCTGTGGTCTGTGACCCTCAGCTGCCCTCTATCCGGGTGGCCTATGGTCTGTGACCCTCACCTGCCCTCTATCCGGGTGGCCTGTGGTCTGTGACCCTCACCTGCCCTCCATCCGGGTGGCCTGTGGTCTGTGACCCTCAGCTGCCCTCTATCCGGGCGGTCTGTGGTCTGTGATTGTCACCCTGCCCGTGGCCACCACAGGCCACACTCGGCCTGTTGGACCCCCTGCTGTGCAGTGCCCCCCCCCCGCGGTGAGTGGTCCCGCCCTCACCGTCACTGCGGGACCCTCGGCTGCTTTGGAGGGTTCGCTCCTGACTGTTCCGGCCTCCAGAGGAGCGGCATTCCTTGGCTTCTGCCCCCTCCTTCCGACTTCAGCGTCAGCAGGGGCATCTTCTAGGCTCTCTTTGACCTCTGACCTCTGACCTCGCCCTCCTCCCTCTCAGGATTCACACGCTCCAGAGTCCAGGACACTCTCCTGACTCGAGGTCCTTAACGTCACCGCGTTTGCCGAGTCCCTGTGTCCACGCGAGGTCCCGCCGTGTCCCTGTCAGGCCGCGCGGGGGCGCGGGGGCGGGCGGGCGGGCGGGCGGGCGGGCTCACCGGCCTCCCCCCGCAGAGGAGGAGCTCCGGAAGCTGCGGGAGGAGACCAACGCCGAGGCGCTGCGGCTGGAGCTGGACCGCGAGCGGCAGCGGCGCCTGGAGCTGGAGCAGAAGGTGCAGGACGTGCTGAAAGCCAGGTGCGGGCGGGCGGGGCGGGGAGGGGGGGGTGAGGGGGGCGCGGGGGCCGGTGAGGGGCGCAGGGCCGGTGAGGGGTGCAGGGCCAGGTTAGGGGGTGCAGGGGTGCGGAGGGCAGGTGAGGGGGATGCGGGGGGTAGGTGAGGGGGGCGCGGGGGCAGGTGAGGGGTGCAGGGCCGGTGAGGGGGTGCAGGGCCGGTGAGGGGGTGCAGGGCCAGGTTAGGGGGTGCAGGGGTGTGGAGGGCAGGTGAGGGGATGCGGGGGGTAGGTGAGGGGGGCGCGGGGGCAGGTGAGGGGTGCAGGGCCAGTGAGGGGGTGCAGGGGTGCGGAGGGCAGGTGTGGGGACCCTCTGGACCCCCAGGTCCCACTGAGGTTTGCCTGGAGCGACACCTTTCCTACGTCCTGGGTCCCTGCTGGACTGGGGTTGCTGGGGACCAGGGCCAGCAGCGCAGGCCGGCGCAGAGCGAGGGGGCGTGGTGGGCGGCGGCGGCATGGCGGAGGGTGAGCGCCAGGCGCTGGACAGACCGCCTGAGATGGTGGAGCCCAGCGCTGGCAGGGTCGTGGCCGAAAGGCAGGCGGACGGTCAGGATCCTGCTGCTCCGGGAGAGGGTTCGAGGCCGGGGACGCTGAGATGGGTGTGGCTGGGCTGCAGGCACAGGAAGCCAGGCAGGTGGCCGGCGGGGGCGAGCGGCCCCGCGTGGTGCTGGGTCACCCGGTGTCGGTGTCGGTACCACTGTCCAGGGAGCCAGCAGAGAGAGCTGCGCTTCTGAGCTCAACCACCACCACGGGAGCGAACTGAGAGCGAAAAGAAAAGGCCCTGCTGGGCAGCTCCTCTGGCCCTGCGGCCCCCGAGGGCGCCGGGCGTGAGCTGGCCCCGAGGGCCCCCGAGGGCGCCGGGCGTGAGCTGGCCCCGAGGGCCCCCGAGGGCGCCGGGCGTGAGCTGGCCCTGCGGCCCCCGAGGGCTCAGGCGGCCTCCCCGCTTCTTCCCCTTTAAGGACCGAGGAGCAGGCGGCCCAGCAGCCTCCGAGGAGCCAGGCCCCGGTTGCTAACGGAGCAGGAGCAGGTGGGTGCCGCGGGCTCCCGGGGGGGTGGCGCTGGCTGGCGATCCTGTTCCGGGGCCCCGTGCTGTGGCCGGGCCCCCCATCGGAGCGGGGTTAGTGTCTGACTGTGCATCGGTGAGTGGCTGCAGGAAGGCAAGTCGCTGAATGTCACAGCCGCGCAGCATGTGAACGTCACTGCATTTCAAACACCCGTGTCCCTGTGTGTGCGGCCCGCAGCTGCCTTAGCACAAGGCTGGCCCTGCCTCACCCTGTCCCTCCAGCGCCAGCCCACACCCCCTCTGTGCTGGGGTGGCCTCTGCAGAAACCTCCCAGCCTTGTCCCTGGAGCACAGGATGTGACCGCTTCCTCCCTCTTCCCTCTAACGGTGGCGGACACTGCCCCCTGCAGGCGGCCCCGAGAACTGCCTCCTGAAGGGACAGCGGGTGCAGAGCTATGTTCTGTGTGTGGTATGTGTGTGTGTGTGTGGTGTGTGTGTGACCCCGGTTTCTGAGGCTGTGCTGGGGTGCTTCCCAGTCCTCGCCCCCTCCCAGGCCAGTCCCCGACACCCCCCCTGGCTGGGGCGCTGGGTCCCGGGGAGTGAGCCCAGAGCCGCCTCCCAGGCAGCCCCGTGTGCCAGTCAGAGGAGGAGGCTGGCACGTGGGCTGCGAGTCGCCGGGGCGGGGGCCGGGCCAGGCGGGAGAAAGGCCCGTGTGGCCGGGTGCTCCTTGTGGCGGAAGCCGGTTGGCTGTTTGGGGGGCGGAGCCCTCCACAGCGGCCGTGGACCTGCATCCCCCCGGCTTCCTGGAGCCCCCAAGCCTCACCCGCCTGTGTCCGCAGACCGGCGGGGCCAGGGCCTGTGCCCCCGCGTGCAGAAGTGGTTCCACGAGAAGTTCGGGGAGTACGTGGAGGACTTCCGGTTCCAGCCCGAGGAGAGCGCCGTGGAGACGGAGGAGCCCCTCAGCGCCCGCAGGTGGGCGCGGGCGGCAGCGGGGCGCCCAGCTCGGGCCCCGCGCAGAGGCCGCCCACGGTTCGGGATGGCGATGGCACCGCCCCGTCCTCCCGCTGCGGGCCTTCCCGTCCTGTGGGGCCAGGCACCCGCTCGGTGAACACGCGCCCCATCTGGGGGGGGCACAGCCAGCACCGAGCTGCGGGGGGGGCGCGGCCGCAGGGGAGGTCTCGCTGGCCCTCACCTCGCCCTCCCTGTCTTGCAGGCTGACCGAGAACATGCGGCGACTGAGTGAGTGCCCGTCGCGGGGGGGGGGGGGGGGGGCTCTGCCATCTCGCCCTGAAGGCGTCCCTCGGGCGTTGCTCCCAGCCTCTCCCTCAGCCGCTGGGAGTGTGCCCGGGCCCACCTGCCCCCGGGGCGTGGAGCCCAGCCCTCTCCGGCCCGGCCAGCGTGGGGTGGCGGGCGGACACCGGGCAGCACGCGAGGCTGGCCGGCCGGCGCTGGCCTGACCGTCCGTCTCTCTGCCCCAGAGCGCGGCGCCAAGCCGGTAACCAGCTTCGTGAGGAACCTTTCCGCCCTGTCCGACTGGCGCTCCGTCTACACGTCCGCCATCGCCTTCACCGTGAGTGCTCCTCGCGGGCGGGGTGCGGGGCGGCGCAGCCTCGGTTTGTCCACCTGTGAAGTGGGCGCGGTGATGCCGCCTGGGGTGGTCGAGAGGAGCAGGGCGGTGTGTGCCTGGCCGCCTGCGGAGCCTCCTGCTCCCGGTGGGCAGAGGGGACAGCTGGGCCTTGTCCGCCCGCGGAGCCTGGGTCCCTCCCCCTGGGCACCGGGCGCCGCGGCAGGGGGCGGGGAGGGAGGAATGAGCCTGCCTGCCGGGCCCCTGACCCCCCCCCCCCGCCCACAGGTCTACATGAACGCCGTGTGGCATGGCTGGGCCATCCCCATGTTCCTGTTCCTGGCCATCCTGCGGCTGTCCCTCAATTACCTCATAGCCAGGTGGGTGAGCGGCCGGTGCGCGCACGGGGCCGTGCAGGGCGTGTGGGTCACCTGGGCGCTGACCTCCCGGTGTCCCGGGCGGCCGGGGCGGCCGTGGAGGACTCCAAAAGTGCCAGGCGGCTCTGGCTCCTCCTCCGATGGCTCTGTTTTGGCCAGAAAGCCCCCCCAACCCCAGGACTGGGCTGCACAGGCCCCGTGCCCGGCTTCCCGCCGCGGGCGAGACGGCCCACCCCCAGCGAGCGCCCGGTCTGCGCGTTCCCCTCCGTCTGAGCCCCGAGCGAGGCCGCGGCTCTGGACTCACGGTTGCCGCTCAGGGAGCCCCCTCCCGGGCCTGAGAGCGCCGCACGGGCCCGGCTCCGCGTGCTCTCACTCCGGGCCGCGCCGGCCGCGGGGTCTCACAGAAGCAGTCAGCTGGCAGGGCCGCTCACACACCCGCAGCCCCAGGCCTCCAGCGGCCTCCCCACATCTCCTTTGTTTTTTATTTTTTAATGTTTTTTAACGACGTCGGAGGAAGGGGAGGGGGAGAGAGAGAAGCCCCTGGGCAGGTGTCCTGACCGGGAATCGAACCCTGACCTCCTGGTTCGTAGGCCATGCGGGCAGGGCCTCACCCACTTGCTTGGAAAGGTTTCTTGTCCCATCACCTTGGGGGGCTTTTCCATGTGTCCCCCTGGGCGGCCCAGGGGAGGGGCCGGGAGGGCACCCGAACGGTCTGCCCTGGGGGGCGGGGGGGGGGCGGGCAGGTGGCAGGGAGGTGCCCCTTTGTCCGGGACGGGCGCTCCTCCCACCCGTTGCTCGGGGTGGGGGGTGGGGGGTGTGGCGCCCGAGCGTGTGCGCTGTCTCCCTCTGCAGGGGCTGGAGGATACAGTGGAGCATTGTGCCCGAGGTGTCCGAAGTGGTGGTAAGTCCCCTGCAGGGCCCCCGAGGCCAGGTGTCGCTGTGTGGGTGCCCACCCGGAGCCCCGCCTGCCCAGCAGAGGCCGGAGGCGCCCGGTCCCTGACCGTGTGACAGCTGGTGCCCCAGTGCCCGGTCCCTGACCGTGTGACAGCTGGTGCCCCAGTGCCCGGTCCCTGACCGTGACAGCTGGTGCCCGGCGCCCTGCAGGCCCAGGCTCGGCTGCTCCGGAAGAGGTTGCCCTGCCCGGCCTGTTCTGACCCTTCCCAGCTAGGGTGGAACATGGGGGGGCCGCGAAGAGGGGGTCTGTAGCCCCCACAGCGTCCTGTGCAGGGAGGGGCCAGCGGCCGGGCCAGCTCCATGGACAAAAGCTCCGCAGCCCCTCCCCTCCAGCCTGCCTGTGAATAGTCTGTTGGCGCAGCCATGCCACTCACTTCCCTGCGTGTGACAGGGACCGAGTCGCCGCAGTGTGCCCCGGCAGGAAAGACATGCTGAGCTCGCTTTAGAGGGCACACTGGCCCTGGGGGCAGGAGGGAGCGCTCAGTGCTGCCATGGGCCCCAGCAGATGTTTGAGCACCTCTGTGCGCAGGGAGCATGCAGCAGGGGTGCTGAGTGGTGGGGCCTACTCCCTTGGTCAGAGCGGGTGTCTGGGGCAGGCCTGGGTCCAGGGGTCACTCTGGAGAGTTTTGTTGAAAGAACTTAGGCAAGCAGGGTGAGCCTGGCCCCCTCTGCCTCAGTTTCCCTGCCCGTAAAGTGAGTTGGGGCCACTGCATGGTTTCAGATGCATCTTCCAATGGAGCCATTAGTGGGAGCCTCAGTCCCACCGGCTACTGGCTGTCCACTGCCTGCCCTCCTGCCCTCTCAGGCGCCAGGGGGTGCCCCTAAGGCCAGGTCCCCTGGACAGCGCCCGCGGGCTGAGTGGGGGCGGAGGAAGGCCTCGTGCGGTTGGTAAGGGAGGTCTCTGGGCGTTCACGTGGCGGCTCTTCTCGCCCTGTGCCCCAGGAGCTGCCGAAGGAGGACCTGACCGTGTCCGAGAAGTTCCAGCTGGTGCTGGACGTGGCTCAGAAGGCCCAGGTGCGCTCGTCCGGCCCAGCTGACCTGCGGCCCCGTCAGTCCCCCCCCCGGCAGTCCCCCTCCTCCCCCGGCAGTCCCCCTCCCCCGTTGGGACTGCGGGTGCACCTGGGGCTTCGGGGAGGGCCGCGGGACTGGGTCTGACCCCCGTTAGCCCAGCAGCGGGCCGGCCCCTCAGCCTGGACGGCGGGCGGGACTGTGCTGCGGCACGGCGTGGTCTCGGGGGGCTGCCCCGGAACCTCTGTGGGACCCACGGCCCCGAGTCTGTCCCAACCGCAGCCGCTTCCTCACGCAGAACCTCTTCGGGAAGATGGCCGACATCCTGGAGAAGATCAAGAAGTAAGTGCCGCCCCGCCCCCGCGTGCAGGCGCCCCGCGCCCACTGACCCCGCCTCCCTTCCAGCCTCTTCATGTGGGTGCAGCCCGAGACCACGCAGAAGCTGTACGTGGCGCTGTGGGCCGCCTTCCTGGCCTCCTGCTGCTTCCCCTACCGCCTGGTGGGGCTCGCCGTGGGTGAGCAGGCCGGACGGCGGCCGGCGGGGCGGGGTGGGGGAACGGGGTGGTGGCCGGGCCTCGGGGGCGGTGCGATTCACTGCTGTCCCTTGGCACCTGGGGGAGCCTCGCCATGAGGAGCCCCCTCAGAGGGCGGCTGGGACGTCCCCCAGTTCCCCTTCCCGTCACCTGGGACAGTGACGATGGCGAGTGGATGGGGGAGGGGGGGCAGTTTTATGGTTTGTCCTGAGTCACCTCGGGGTTTGCAGAAACATGAAAGTGGCCTCTCCCTTAGCCAGGGCATGGCCCTCTCCTCCCCTGTCCCCCATCACCGTGCCTTCTCCCCCCCCCATCACCGTGCCCTCCCCCCCATCACCGTGCCTTCTCCCCCCCATCACCGTGCCCTCCCCCATCACCGTGCCTTCTCCCCCCATCACCGTGCCTTCCCCCCCATCACCGTGCCTTCTCCCCCCATCACCGTGCCTTCTCCCCCCCATCACCGTGCCTTCTCCCCCCCATCACCGTGCCTTCCCCCCATCACCGTGCCTTCTCCCCCCATCACCGTGCCCTCCCCCCATCACCGTGCCTTCTCCCCCCATCACCGTGCCCTCCCCCCATCACCGTGCCTTCTCCCCCCATCACCGTGCCCTCCCCCCATCACCGTGCCTTCTCCCCCCCATCACCGTGCCCTCCCCCCCATCACCGTGCCCTCCCCCCCATCACCGTGCCTTCTCCCCCCCTCCCCCCATCTCCATGCCTTCTCTCCCCGCCCCCATCACCGTGCCCTCCCCCCCATCACCGTGCCCTCCCCCCCATCACCGTGCCTTCTCCTCCCCCCATCACCGTGCCCTCCCCGCCCATCACCGTGCCCTCTCCCCTGTCCCCCATCTCCATGCCTCCCCCCCCCCGCCCCCTGGGGCACCGCGCCCACCCCGGTGCGCCGGCGGCGAGCAGGCGGCTGTGGCTGTGGCGCCCGGTGAGGCCCTTCTCCCCCCGCCCCCTGGGGCACCGCGCCCACCCCGGTGCGCCGGCGGCGAGCAGGCGGCTGTGGCTGTGGCGCCCGGTGAGGCCCTTCTCCCCCCAGGACTCTATGCCGGCATCAAGTTCTTCCTCATCGACTTTGTCTTCAAACGCTGCCCGCGGCTGCGAGCCAAGTACGACACCCCCTACATCATCTGGACGAGCCTGCCCACCGACCCACAGCTCAAGGAGCGCTCCAGCGCCGCCGCCGTGTCCCGCAGGGTGAGCGCCGCCCCGGGCTGCTGCGGCCCCGGCCCAGGGCCGGCTGTGGGCATGGCTGCAGGGAGCCTGGCCTTGGGAGGAGGGGCCCGGCAGTGCGTGCTGGGCGGCGGAGGCTCCGCTGACACAGCTCTCAGGCTCCTGGCGGGCCGCCTTGGTGGAGAGCCACGTGGGCATCGGCCCCGTGGCCGGGCCTGCCTCCTGCTGCCTCGGGGTCTCCGACAAAGGACAAGGGGAGGGCGACACTGGCTTGCAGAGTCGTGTGTGCGCGTGAACTCGGGAGAGGTGTCCCGCGACCTGTTGGGTGGGAGGGAAGCTCTGGGCGGAGGGGAGCCCCGTGCTCCCCAGTTCTGGGACAGGCGGCTTGTGGGAGCCTGAACTCACCAGGGGGGTGTGCCGCCGCCAGGCAGGAGGCAGCGGTGGGGCTCGGCACAGACGGAGGCGGCCTCGGTGGAGCCGCAGAGGCAGGCGGCCTGGCGCCCTGACAGCAGGGGCCCTTTGGGGGTCAGGACCCGCTCCTGGCGCTGGCCACTCAGGGAGTCCGGGAGCGGGGTGTGGCGCTCGGCCGGGCTGCGCTGGCAGCGTGTGTGGCCCCGTGTCACGTGGACCATTTTTCTCGTCGCGGTCGCACGTGTCTTGTCTCCTCGTGGCCAGCTGTCAGGGCAGAAGGTAGGGCCCGCGGGGCGCCCCGCTGTGGCTGGTGTGTGCATTGCTGTGTCGTGACTGGCGTTGAACGTGGCTTCACTGGCCTGTCCGCCGGCTCTGGCTCTGAGCCGCCGCCCGGCGCCCGGCCCCTCCCGGCCCCGCGTGGCTCGGGCGTGTGCGGCGCACTCCCGCGGCGGCCGGGTGTGCGCTCTCCGGGAAGCGGGACTGCGTGCAGCTGCGAGGGGGGAGGCTGCCCCCCGCGGGCACGCTGACGGCGGTGCGTTGGCAGCTGCAGACGGCGTCCGCGCGGAGCTACGTGGCCAGCGCGCCCGCGGGCCTGGGCCGGGACGAGGACGCCGGCCGCCTCCACAGCACCAAGAAGGGCAACTTCCATGAGATCTTCAACCTGGCGGAGACCGAGCGGCCGCTGGCGGGTGTGTGCCACGGGCCGGGAGGGGGGCCGGGGGCCGCCCGGGTGGGGCGACGGGGCTGCCCCCAGATGCAGACGTCCCGGCCGCAGGGGAGGAGCGGGTGGCCGGCCCAGGCCGTGCAGGGCGTCCCTGTGCGGTCAACGGTTGGTTTCCCAGCGGGAACTCGGCAGGGCCGGCTGCGAGCCATGTCCTAAAGGGTTGGCACTGCTGGCAGCTCCCTGGCACAGGCAGGCAGTGCCCTGAGGTCCAGCCTGGGCACCACTGCCATGCCCGTCTGACAAGGAGGCCCAGATCCCTGTTGCACCCCAGAACAGTCTCCCTAAACCCCTAAACTGCTGGTGGACTGGGCTCCTCACGTGTCTGACAGTGGGGGCCCCCCGGGGAGGGAGGCTGGGAGAGTGTCAGTGTTGACCTTCTGAACCCTCGTCCTGCTGACCTTGACCTTGAACCTGGGCCTCTGAGGCTCTGTTTCATTTCGTTAACTTTGCTGTTTAACCAGCGCGTTTTTTTGTTTGTTTGTTTGTTTGTTTTTAAAAAGTTTATTGATTGGAGAGAGGAAGGGAGGGGGAGAGGGAGAGGGGGAGAGCCAGTAACAGTGATGGAGGCCGCAGCGGCACCTGCCCCACTGTGACCCGGTTCCTGGGTGGATGCTCAGCCTCTGAGCCGTGCCGCCGGCTCCTTCTCTCGTGGATAAGGCCTCCCAGTCCACGCCGTGCGGCGGGTGGAGGCGGGACATGCGTGGCTGTGGGCCCGGGGGGCGTCGCCGGTGGGAACCGCCGTCCGTTTGCCCCTCAGTGTGTGAGAACGGCTGGCGCTGCTGCCTCATCAACCGAGACCGGAAGATGCCCACGGACTACATCCGGAACGGGGTGCTGTACGTGACGGAGAAGTGAGTGGCCGGCGCGGCGGCGGCCACTGCGGGGACCGGCACTGCCCCCGTCACCGGCCTGGCACAGGCCGTGCTGTGCCCCTGGGGAGAGCTGATCCCGGGGCCCCCTCCGGCCTGTGGGGGCAGGGCCAGGCTGCGGGCGGGCTTCTCAGCGTGGGGGGGGGGCCCACTCTCAGCAGCCAGGCCCTGTCTCCCTGCCCCCAGCCCCGGGCTCCCTGCGGGGCCGGCTGGGGCCCCGGATTTAACCACTGAGCACCGAGCTGGGCCCCGTGCCAAGCATGGCCGTTAGCCTAACGCTGGGAGGCGCCTTCTAAACGTCAAGCCTCCGTCCGAGGCCGGCCCGGCGGAGGGAGGGTCAGGGTTGGGTCCGGGCCGCCCCGTGCCCGGCTCAGCGGCGGCTTCGCCTCTGACCCGCAGCTACTTGTGCTTCGAGAGCTCCAAGTCCGGCTCCTCCAAAAGGAACAAGGTCATCCGGCTGCTGGACATCACCGACATCCAAAAGGTGGGCCGCTGCCGTCCTCCCCGTCCTCCCGTCCTCCTGTCCTCCTGTCCTCCCGCTGCCCATCCTCCCGTCCTCCCGCTGCCCGCCCTCCCCGCCCTCCCCGTCCTCCCAGTCCTCCCGCTGCCGTCTTCCCGTCCTCCCGTCCTCCCGCTGCCCACCCTCCCCGTCCTCCCCATCCTCCCCATCCTCCCGTCCTCCCACTGCCCGCCCTCCCCGTCCTCCCGTCCTCCCGTCCTCCCGCTGCCTTGTCCTCCCGCCCCCTTTGCGGGGAGCTGCCGGGCGCCGGCAGGCAGGAGTCCTGGAACCCGTGTCCAAGGAGGCAGGTGCCACCTGAGAGGCAGCGGGCGAGCCTTCAGCTCCTGTCTGTCCGGCCCGGCCTCGCCCCTTCCCCGTGGGCTGCCCTGGCGTCCTCACAGACGGAGACAGCTTCGCGCCAGGCGGGCCGGCTGAGCCTCGTCCCTGAGCCCCCCGTCAGGGCAGGTTACGGGGCTGCCCCTGCTCCGGCACTTTCTGGCGGGTCTCCCCACGTGTGGCCACACGGAGGGGCGCAGTGTGCGTGCTGGGGGCAGCCTTTGTCCCGTGGCCGGGAAGCCAGGCCCGTGCCCACGGAGATGCCCGGGGGTGGGAGGGGCACGGCCCGCCCCGCGAGCCGTGGTGACACCTACTCGCCTTCCAGTACAAGGTCCTCTCAGTCCTCCCGGGATCGGGCATGGGCATCGCCGTGACAACGCCATCAACCCAGAAGGTAAGAGCTGGGCAGGCGGGGGCTCCAGCTGGGCAGGGAGCCTGTGAAGCCTGCCCCCTCCCTCCTCGCCCTCCTCCTCCTCCCTCTCCTCTCTCTCTCTCCTCCCCCTCTCTCCCTCCCTCCTGCCCACAGGAACCTCTCCGCATTGAGGGTGTGGCCAGGAGGCTGAGGCTGCGGGGATGACCTAGCGCGGTTCCTGGGGGGGGCGGCCACTGGGGCCCATCCCCTGCCTCTCGCTCCGTTTCTCTGAAGACTGGCCTCTGGTGGGCAGGGGGTTTGCCCTGAGCCCCTGGACCCCATGTGGTTCCCCGTGCCCAGCCCCCGGCTCAGTGCCAGCCGGGCCCCCGGCTCAGTGCCAGCCGGGCCCCCCGCTCAGTGCCAGCCGGGCCCCCGGCTCAGTGCCAGCCGGGCCCCCCGCTCAGTGCCAGCCGGGCCCCCGCTCAGTGCCAGCCGGGCCCCCCCCCCGGCTCAGTGCCAGCCGGGCCCCCCGCTCAGTGCCAGCCGGGCCCCCCCCCCCCGGCTCAGTGCCAGCCGGGCCCCCCGCTCAGTGCCAGCCGGGCCCCGCTCAGTGCCAGCCGGGCCCCCGCTCAGTGCCAGCCGGGCCCCCCCCGGCTCAGTGCCAGCCGGGCCCCCGCTCAGTGCCAGCCGGGCCCCCCCCGGCTCAGTGCCAGCCGGGCCCCCGCTCAGTGCCAGCTTCCCCGCAGCCGCTGGTGTTCGGCGCCATGGTGCACAGGGACGAGGCCTTCGAGACCATCTTCAGCCAGTACCTGAAGATCACGGCGGGCGCAGCCTCGGGCAGTGACAGCTAGCGCTCCCGGCCTGGGGCGTGATTGACAGCTGGCCCCCAGCCTGGGGCGTGATTGACAGCTAGCCCCCCCAGCCTGGGGCGTGATTGACAGCTAGCCCCCCTAGCCTGGGGCGTGATTGACAGCTGGCCCCCAGCCTGGGGTGTGATTGACAGCAAGCCCCCCCCAGCCTGGGGCGTGATTGACAGCTAGCCCTCCCCGGCCTGGGGTGTGATTGACAGCTAGCCCCCCAAGCCTGGGGCGTGATTGACAGCTAGCCCCCCCCAGCCTGGGGCGTGATTGACAGCTAGCCCTCCCCGGCCTGGGGCGTGATTGACAGCGTAGCAGGAAAACAATCGGACATCTCGTGACCTTTGCAATCACCCCTGGACCTGTGGCTTCTGTCGTGCGGACCTGCAGTCACGGACCCTGCAGGGGCGGGGTCGCTTGGACAGTGCCAGCCGCCTGCGGGCCAGGCCGGTCCCGACTGGGCACGGGGCAGGGCCTCGGAGGCTGCGGGAGGAAGGCACACAGGAGGCGCTGTCCGTCCGCCAAGCACACGGCTCCTCTGCCCCCGGGACAGTGTGGCACGGTCGCAGCGGCTCCGAGCGGCGCGTTCCACCAAAGCCATAGCTGCAGGGCGTCGAGGACAACGGAGGCCCCTCGCCGGCCCCTGCCCCCCGGGGCCAGCTCGTCCTTCGCGGGGTCCCTGCCACGGCCCCCGAGAGCCAGGGCTTGTGTGGGGCCGCAAGGGCTGTGGGGCCACGAGCCTCGGGCCGGGATTGGCCACGGTCTGCCTGGGCCTCTCGCCAGCCGGCAGGGGCCCGCGTCCCGCCTGACGGGTGAAGGGGGTGGAGTGGAAGCACATTTTTTTAACACTTCGCTCTGGAAGGCCCGGGGCTGAGATGAACGTGGGCCTGCGTGGCCGCCTGGGCCTCCGTGAGCCGCCGGCGAGGGGCTCGGGCCGGGTGGGCCCTCTGGGCAGTGACCGGGAGCGGAGCCCAGAGGGTGGGCCGGGCAGCTCCTCTGGCACCGAGTGTTCTGGCTTGTGCCCGCGCCCGCACGCACACGCACACGCACACGCACGGGAGCGAGCCCCCTCCCAGCTGGTCTGGGCCCACCCACCGAGGACGCCCCGGCCCTGGCGGAGGTGGCCGGCGCGGTGCATTCTGGGACAGCCCGGTGCCCCCCGGCCTGCGGCTGCTGCAGAAAACAGGCTCGGGGGTGGGCGGGCCGTGACCCCGCTGGGCAGCGCTTCCCACCGGTTCCTCAGCTCCACCGGCCGAGTCCTGGGTGTGGGTGAGATGCCGTTTTTTGAAGAAACAGATTCTATTTTTTACAGAGAGCAAGCTGTTTTCTTATTTTTGTATCGTTTTTCAGACGTGATTTTTACCTTCGCTCCGATCCCCTTTGCTGGTTTGGGGAGGGGGCAGCATCGCTCTGGTCACCCTTCAGGGACGGCCAGGCCAGGCCACGCACACGCCGCCCGCGGGGAGGCACGGGGACAGGGACGGGAAGCGGGACGGCTGGACCTGGGCTTGGCTCCCACGGGGATCAGGTGGGCACTCCCGTGGGCTGAGGCCCCGGGGACACCAGGACGCACGCAGAGGGGCTTCCCGTGGCGTCCACAGCGAGGCGGCGTGGGCCTGAGCTGCCCAGGGCCGGGCCGGGGCGAGCTCCCGGGAGCCGGGGCAGCCGTGCCTGTGGCCGGCGGGGGGACTGTCCCGGCTGGGGGCCCGGCGGCGGGAGGGGTGCCTGCCGAGCGCGAGGGCTCGAGCCCCTGCAGGGTGGTGTTGGAGTCCCTTCTGAGAAGGGAGATGAAAACTCACCATGTGACAGGGTGTGGCGGCCTGGCCCCCACGGAGGGCCGAGGGGTGCCGGGAAACGGGGCGGGCCGATGGCGGGCTGAGCGCAGACCTGTGCAGGCGGCTCCCTCCTGTCGGGGCCTGTGGCTTCGCTGAATGTAAACTGGGGACGAATTTCCGTGCCCCGTCCACGGACAGAGACAGGCCGCTGTGTCTGAGCTCCTCGCTCCTTGTAAATACGGGACGTGTGACCGTTCGCGAAGGATTTACTGTACGAGGGACCGATGGCACCTGTCGCGTTTTTTTAACAGACCCTGTTTAAAGACGTCTTGTATAAATTATAATTTTATTTAAATAAATCTGAAGCGTTTTGTGCTAAGGGGGACTGGGCGGGGGAGGGTGGGGAGAGGGCGGGGGGCTGCCATGAGCAGCAGAGGCTGGCCGGGCTCGGGAAGCCAGCAGCTGATGAGGTGGCTTGCAGGGAGGGGCGGCACAGCCTGGCGCTGGAGGTAACGGGCAGGGGTGCCCACCTGAGGGTGTGTGAGGAGACCAAGCACCTGGGGTGCAGTCCTCCCCCACCCAACGATGCCTTCTGGGGGACCAGGTGCTGCCTCAAGCCTCCCGCAAGGCTGGCCTGGGTGGGAGGCCCCGTGGCGCTCAGGCAGCGGGCCAGACGGGGATCGGCATTACTGCCTGCCTTTGGGCCCCGCATTTCCATTTGTGCCTTTGACCTCGTTAAGGACCAGCCCGACTTACACCGGTGCAACTGAGGCCCGCACCCAGGAGCCCCCGGCCCTGAGCGGCTGCTGGGCGTACCCAGGGGGCCAGCCCCCTGCACCCAGGCCCAGGCAATGCCTGCCCGGCTGGCTCGGGAGTGGCCAGGGTGGGAACGGGCCCTGTGGGCGGGCTCCCGCTCATGGGGGGGCCTGCATCCCGTCCATCTGTCCCGGCTGGAACACAGCGGCACCCAGAACGCCGTCCCTGGGGACGGCCCCTCCCAGGCGACTCCCGACCAGACACCAGACTGGTCTCCTCACAAAATGTAATGTCCCGTCCCCAACCCCACAGCTCCCACCCCCTCGGCAGCACCCCCACCGCTCCTCCTGATGCTGTCCCCCCTCAGGGCCTTCGTGGGGAGCAGACAGACCCCCACACGGTCACCCACTCCCTGGGGCAAGGAGGGTCCATCCACAGGAGTCCGCGCCTGGTCACTGTCTGCAGTGATCGGCGTGAGAATAAAAGGATTAACAGGCAGAAACACAGCAGCCGACGGCCCGGCCTGTGCACCACGGAGCCCAATCTGTGCCCCGACCTGTGGAGGCTCAGCTTGGGGCTGACTCTGGTGGGGTGAGAGCCACCGTGCTCAGTGGGCACGTGAGCTTCCGCCTCCTGCAGGCGGGTGAGGTGTGAGGTGGGATCTGCCGCTGTCTGCGCACGCGTAGGGTTGGCTGTGGGGTCGGCGGTTGTGAGGTCGGTGGTTGTGGGGTGGGGGGCTGTGGGGTCGGGTTGGCTGTGGGGTTGGAGGCTGTGGGGTCGGTGGTTGTGGGGTCGGCGGTTGTGGGGTCGGGTTGGCTGTGGGGTCGGCGGTTGTGGGGTCGGCGGTTGTGGGGTGGGGGGCTGTGGGGTCGGGTTGGCTGTGGGGTTGGCGGCTGTGGGGTGGGGGGCTGTGGGGTCGGCGGTTGTGAGGTCGGCGGTTGTGGGGTGGGGGGCTGTGGGATCGGGTTGGCTGTGGGGTTGGAGGCTGTGGGGTCGGCGGCTGTGGGGTCGGGTTGGCTGTGGGGTTGGAGGCTGTGGGGTCGGCGGTTGTGGGGTTGGAGGCTGTGGGGTGGGGGGCTGTGGGGTCGGGTTGGCTGTGGGGTCGGCGGCTGTGGGGTCGCCGGCTGTGGGGTTGGAGGCTGTGGGGTTGGCGGCTGTGGGGTCGGGTTGGCTGTGGGGTTGGAGGCTGTGGGGTCAGCGGTTGTGGGGTCGGCGGTTGTGGGGTGGGGGGCTGTGGGGTCGGCGGCTGTGGGTCGGGGTCGGGGTGGGATGCGTTGGCGGCCACGGGCTGCTGGCTGTGCCCCCGAGCCGAGCGCTGCCTTCTGGGTGCTGTGGCTCTCCCCAGCCGAGGCCCGGAGACAAGAGGCACCGCACCGTCCTCCTGGGCCTTTGTTCCCGGGGCGAGGCCTGTGGGGCCCCGGGGCAGGGCTGGCTGCAGCTCAGAGGAGCCGTCCGGGAGGGGAGGGGGCACGTGAGGACAGACAGGGACACGGACGTGACCTCAGTGGAAACCAGGCCCTCCACGCGCCTTCGCTGTGGATCTCAGAACAGCGCCTTCTGCCAAAGTTCACTTTATTACGTCAGCTCAGACCCGTCAGCGCGCGGCCACGTCCTAACCTGACCAGAGCGGACGCTGGGCCCCCCTCCCAGCAGCAGGCCTGGGGGCCGGGCGTTCGGCGATGAGCGAGGAGCCAGCTGATGAGTCCCCGGGCACAGGCCGTCCCATCTCCACGCTGCCCAGTCCACGCCGGAGCCACAGGGGCGGAGCCACGGGGCGGAGCCACAGGGGCAGCCCTGCAGCTCCCGTGGCCGTGGCCGCGGCCGCCAGCAGCTCCGCTTTTCTCTCCGAGGCCCCGTGAGCCGGTGGTGTCGCTCCATCTGGAGCCTTCCCGGGGGCTGCCCGGCGTGGGGTGTGAGAGGCTCCCGTCCTGTGAGACGGTGGGGGCGCCTCGGGTCAGTCCCTCCATCCCCCCAGGAGCTCCCAGGTCCCCGAGTGTCCGCGTGCAGTGGGAGCTGCCTCCTGGGAAGCGGGGCTGGCTGGTGCCGTGTGGGACAAGGCTCCCTCTGAGTGTGCACGCCGGCCGCCTGGGGGTGGGAGGCTGGCCTGGGCTGCGGAGGCGGAGAGCAGCGGAGGCCGCGGGCGGCGAGGCGGGCGGCCCACAGGGGTCCCCAGGGGACCCTCCAGGCCTGCGGTGCGGCCCCCACCCCCCACAGAGCCACCAGTCCCCCGGCTTCTTCCGGGAACAGCAGGCAGGACGGACACGCCAGCGTGCTGTCAGCTCTTTATACCCAACCCTCCTCCACCACAGCCACCAATCTGATCGCCTTCCCACGCGGTCTGTTCGGAAAAGGGAAAGGAAACACTGCTACAGCCGCTCTGGCCTGGCGGGGGGCGGGGGCGGGGGGGAGATGAAGCGGGAGATTCACATGCAGTCCACACGCCCGGCACGTGGACTCGGACGCCCTGTCTGCCACGCGCGGAGCCACGGGCCCGCGGAGCCCCCCCCCCGCAGGGCAGCGGTCAGCTCTTGGACGCCCAGCCTTCCCGCCGCAGGCCAGCGCTCCGTCACCCCCACAGGCCGGGGTGCAGGCACCTCACTACCCCCACGCCCGGCACAGACCACAAGACCGCACACAGCCCGGGCCAGGGTGTGGGGGCCCCGGGGGTCCGTCCGGGGCCGAGGCCACAGCAAACTCAAGCTCCGACCACGGAGACACGAACGACGCCCCGCTTAAGAGGACCACGCCGGCGATGCACACGCAGACACGAACGGGAGGTCAGCAAAGGGCAGACCGGCCTGGAGGCAGCCCCAGCGGCCGGGAATGTTCCCCTCCCCGCCCACGGGTCTGACACGCCTCCAAGGGCGCCTCCTGGCGGCAAAGCATCCGCGTTTAACTGGACAGCTCGCCCTGCAGCCCCACGCAGCCAGGGCTGCCGGCGGATTGTCCGGGACCGAGGACGGCGGGCACAGGACGGCGGGCGCAGGCTGAGGCTGCGGAGAGAGCGAGGACTCCGCGCGCCCCTCGCTAGCGTGGTCCCCTCTGGGCGCTGTTGAGCGGGCTCCGTGCCGGGAGGCAGGGAGCCCACGGCGATCGGAATGCGACCATGGACAGCCCAGGCTGGTGGGCATGACGGGCAGGCACCTCCTGTCCAGCCGGGGACAAGGGTGGCCGGCTCTCCTGCGACTCGGTCTGCACAGCGACTGCCAGAGCCGCGAACGGCCGTCTTCCAATCGCCGCAGCCCGGATCGGGTCCGAGAGCCGCAGCCCATGGTGGCCGCGGGTGGAGGCAGTCACGTGAGAGGCGACGCAGAGTCACGTGGACGGACATGCCCGGGGCGTCCACAGAGCTGCTGACAGAGGAGTTTTTCCTAAAACCACGGTTTAACTATAAAAACAAACTTCGGAGTTTGGACGCAGCGCCCATGTAATGGGTCCACCGTGTTCGCCCGTTTCCGCGGGCAGCGAGGCCCTCGGCGGCGGTGAGCGGCGTCCGGCCGCGGCTCCACTACGGGCTGTCCTCCATGCCGCGGGCGAAGAGCTGGACCAGCTGGCAGTGCACCCTGCGGAGACAGGCCGCTGACTCCTCCCCGCGGACAGCGGCCCCGGCTACCCGGGCCCCGGGGAGAGCAGGCAGCTCCGCCCCCGGGAGACACGACCCCCTGCCCGGCTCTCCGCGGCTCAGGGCTGGGCCGCCTGAGCCGAGCGCCTCCCGGTGGATGCCGTGAGCCAGCACTTCACCGAGCGAGAAGCCAGAGCACCGGCTGAGGCCCAGGCCGCCGGGCGCAGGTGCAGGGGAGAGGGTGACCGAGGGGCTCCGGCCGGCGTGGCTCATGGCTGAGCATCGACCTATGAACTGGGAGGTCACAGCTCGATTCCCGGCCTGGCACACGCCCACTGGGCTGTCACTCCATTCCCAGTGGCGGGCGTGCAGGAGGCAGCCGATCCATGGTTCTCTCTCACCGTGGAGTTTCTGTCTGGCTCCCTCTCCCTTCCTCTCTGAGATCAGTGAGGATCTCTGTGACAGGGATGGACACTTGGCGTGTCCCAGGGCTAGTCCAGGGCACCCACAGGGCGTGTGCCACCTGGGAGCCCAGGCGCCCCGGCCACACATGGTCCCCACGGGGGCTCCGAGTGGCAGGAAGCCCAGCTCAGGGCTGTGAGCCCCAGCGGCGTGGCGCCCGGCCCCGCGGTGGCAGTGGCGGTGGCGGTGGCAGTGGCAGGGACGGTGGCGGTGGCGGGGATGGTGGTGGTGGCGTTGGTGGTGCCGGGGATGGTGGTGGTGGCAGGGATGGTGGTGGTGGCGGGGACAGGGACGGGGATGGGGACGGGGATGGGGTCAGAGGCGGGGACGGGGACGGGGATGGTAGCGGGGGCGGGGATGGGGATGGGGACGGGGGCGGGGACAGGGGTGGGGACGGGGACAGAGACTGTGGCGTTGGCGTTGGAGGGGACAGAGATGGTGGCGGTGGCGGGGACGGTGGCGGGGATGGTGGCGGGGATGGGGATGGGGATGGTGGTGGGGACGGGGATGGGGACGGGGACAGGGGCGGGGGCGGGGATGGTGGTGGTGGCGTTGGAGGGGACACGGATGGTGGCGGTGGCAGGGACGGGGATGGGGACGGGGATGGGGACGGGGATGGGGTCAGAGGCGGGGACGGTGGCGGGGATGGTGGCGGGGACAGGGGCGGGGGCGGGGACGGGGATGGTGGCGGGCGCGGGGGCAGGGACGGGGACGCCGCACCCACCTGACCTCCACGGCGGACCCGCTCAGCACCTCCCCGTCGCAGTTCCAGGAGCTGCTGGCCGCGCTGCAGCAGCAGGAGGGGTGCTGGCTGCAGATCTGGCCCAGCCCCTGCTTGCCCCGCTCGCCCAGCTCGCCGTCCTCGTCCTCCACCTGCTTCGACACGAACTGGAACCTCTTGACGCGGTAAACCTCCACGAAGGTGAAGTCGAACTGGCAGGAGAGGGCGGGCGCCTGAGCCGCGGGGACCGCCTGGCCCCTGCCCGCGAGGGACGGCCTGAGTGGCAGGAGGCCGGCCCGCCTCCCAGGCTCCCGCCACGGTGACGGCTCGTAGGAACCGGGAGCTCCGAGCAGGGGCTGGAGGAATCCTCCATCTTCTTCACAAGAACTGGTCGAGCCGAGGAAAGTGCTCCTGGAGGAGCATTCTCACTGGTATAGCTGAAGGTTTTTTTAAAAAAGCCAATTGCTCCTGGCCAGTGTGCTCAGTGGATAGAGCATTGGCCTGCAGACCAAAGGGTCCTGGGTTCGATTCTGATCAAGGGCATGGACCTCTGTTGCAGGCTCCTCTCTGGCCCAGGCCCTGGTTGGGGCTGGTATAGAAGGTAACCAATCGATGTGTTTGTCCCACATCGATGTTTCTCTCTGTCTCTCCCTCTCCGTTCCTCTCTTCTAAGATCACTGGGAAAATGTCCTTGGGTGAAGGATTTAAAAAAGAAAAGCAGGCGCCTGGCCCCGCTCTCTGCATGTTCCCGGCTCGGGGTCTCCCTGTACGGACTGTGAGGACGCAGGGGCGGCCCCGGCTCAGGAGCCGATGGTGCTGTGAGCCACCACAGGCTGCACTGTGTCACTGGGCCACTCTGTCCTGTTTAAACGGGAAGAGGAGACAGGATGACCGACATCCCGTCTCCCAGCTGCTGGGCTCAGAGTGAGGCTCTTCAGGGAGATTTTACCAGGAGCCTCTGACCGAGCGTGAACGGGGAGAAACACGAACAAACAAACCTGCCTGCTTTCCAGCGAGCTCAGGGACGGGGACACGTGGGACCCCGACTAGGGCCTGCCCAGCGGCCCACGGAGCCAGCCCTGCACCCAGTAGACCCGCCCAGCAGCCCAAGGAGCCAGCTCTGCACAGAGCAGGACCTGCCAGCGGCCCACGGAGCCAGCCCTGCACCCAGTAGGCCTGCCCAGCGGCCCACGGAGCCAGCCCTGCACCCAGTAGGACCTCACAGCGGTCCACAAAGCCAGCCCGGCACCGAGCAAGTCCCCAGTGGCCCCCGGAGCCAGCCCGGCACCAGGCAGGGCCCCCGGCACCGAGCAGGGCCCCGGCAGCCCACGGAGCCAGCCCGGCACCGAGCAGGCCCCGGCGGCCGCCGCACTCACCTGGTCGCGCTGGTTGGTGTGCCGCACGAGGAACCGCAGGAAGCTGAAGCGGGAGCACTTGCGGATGAGGATCAGGTCGGAGGCCCCGTCGCCCAGGTGGGCGGCCGGGGACAGGCCGCGGGGGCTCCGGGGACACGCGCAGGACATGTTGGCGGCGTTGATGGCCAGGAACTTGCCACAGACGACCTTCCACTCCTCCACGTCCTCTGCGCACAGGGGCAGCGCCACGCTCAGGGCCCGCCGGGCCACGCCAGGGCCACGCGCACCCACGCCTGGCGTGGACGCGAGGAAACCGACGGAGGCCGCGTGCTCACCGGGACACTCCCTGCCCCGGGCCGGACCGGCCACTGAGAGACCCACCTTCTCTCACGACGGAGACGGAGGGCACATCGGGGCCGGTGCAGCCACAGGACCCGGCCTCCCCGAGCCGTGCCCACTCCCGCCCCGGCCGTGCCCACGCCCTCAGACCCACCGCGGGGCCCTCCCGGGCCTGGACCAGGTGCCAGCCACGCGATGCCACGCGGCTCCCAGCCTCTCCCCAGGCCTGGCCCGTGCCCGCAGCCGCCAGAGTGAACAGCGCAGGGACAGCGCAGGGACAGCGCGGGGGGCTCCCGCCTGACCTCCACGGGCACAGGGGACGGAGAGGACCGAGGGGGACGGAGAGGACGGAGGGGGACGGAGAGGACGGAGGGGGACGGAGAGGACGGAGAGGACGGAGGGGGATGGAGAGGACGGAGGGGGACGGAGAGGACGGAGGGGGACGGAGGGGGACGGAGAGGACGGAGGGGGACGGAGAGGACGGAGAGGAGGAGGGGGATGGAGAGGACGGAGGGGGACGGAGAGGACGGAGGGGGACGGAGGGGGACGGAGAGGACGGAGGGGGACGGAGAGGACGGAGAGGACGGAGGGGGATGGAGAGGACGGAGGGGGACGGAGAGGACGGAGGGGGACGGAGGGGGACGGAGACAAGGAGGGGGATGGAGACGGACAGAGAGGACGGAGGGGGACGGAGAGGACTGAGGGGGACGGAGGGGACGGAGGGGACGGAGGGGGACGGAGGGGGACGGAGAGGACGGAGGGGGACGGAGGGGGGCGGAGGGGACGGAGGGGGACGGAGAGGACGGAGGGGGACGGAGGGGACGGAGGGGGACGGAGAGGACGGAGGGGGACGGAGGGGGACGGAGGGGGGCGGAGGGGACGGAGGGGGACGGAGAGGACAGAGAGGACCGAGGGGGACGGAGGGGGACGGAGGGGGACGGAGACGGACAGAGAGGACGGAGGGGGACGGAGAGGACAGAGAGGACCGAGGGGGACGGAGGGGGACGGAGGGGGACGGAGAGGACGGAGGGGGATGGAGGGGGATGGAGGGGGACGGAGGGGGACGGAGGGGGATGGAGAAGATGGAGGGGGATGGAGGGGGACGGAGAGGACGGAGAGGAGGGGGAGGACGAAGGGGGATGAGGGGGATGGAGAGGACAGAGGGGGATGGAGAGGATGGAGAGGAGGGGGAGGATGAGGGGGACGGAGGGGACGGAGAGGACGGAGAGGATGGAGGGGGACGGAGAGGACGGAGGGGGACAGAGAGGACGGAGGGGGACGGAGAGGACGGAGCCGCCGCCGTACCCGAGCCCTCCAGGCCGTACAGCGACCGCTTCTGCTCCTCCTCCAGCTGCTGTTTGCTCTGCCGGCAGACGAAGCACCTGGAACAGGACGGGCCGCTCACGTCCGCCCAGCCCAGCGGCAGCCTCCGCGCGCCCCCCCCCCCCCCCCGCGCCTGTCCCACTCCGGCCCCGCAGCGTAACCCCGGCGCCGGTCCCCCCTCCTGCCCCCGCAGTGTCCACCCGGCGCCGGTCCCCCCTCCCACCCCCGCAGCACCCCCCCTTCGCGCCTGTCCCACTCCCCCCCGCAGCGCCCCCCGGCGCCTGTCCCCCCCCTCCTGCAGCACCCACAGGGCGCCTGTCTCCCCTTCCCCCGCTGCAGCACCCACACAGCGCCTGACACTCCCCCCACCCCCGGGTGGCGCCCACAATGGCGCCTGGCCCTCCCCAGGCGGTGCCACCCGCGGGGCTCATTTACGAAGGCTGCTTGGGCCCCGGCCAGTGTGGCTCAGTGGACAGAGCGTCAGCCGAAGGTTCCGGTCAAGGGCAGGTGTCCCGGTGGAGGGGCCTCCCGGACCTGGCCCTCGCCCTCTCTCTAAAGTCACTGGGGAAGGGTCCTTGGCGAGGATTTAAGAAACACTTCTCTGCCGCATCACCTTGAGTTCTCACAGCGAGGCTTACTTGAAAAGGCTGGGCAGGGGCTGACGGGAGGTTACCAGGGGCCCCCTTGTCGGCGTGTGAGCCCAAAGTGCCCCTGACCTGCGGGCTCTCTGCCGAGACCCGGCGTCTGCCCACCGGACGCCCTCCTCCCCCTCCTCTCCCTCCTCCCCTTCCTCCTCCGCCCCCAGGCTCACCCGGCCCCTCCTCCCCCTCTCCCTACCCCCCCTCCCCCTCCGCCTCCCGCCCCCAGGCTCACCCGGCCCGGCAGGGCTTCCCGTCCCGCGGCGAGCCCACCGTGTGCTGCGCCGGGAGGAAGGACACGGTGCCCTCGTAGCAGTGGTGGGACAGGAAGGTCTTCAGGCCTGGAGGGCGGAGAAGGGAAGCAGCCAGGTCACCCCGACACCTCTGACGCCCCCGACACCCCCGACGCCCCTGACAGAGCGGCCGTCAGTGAGCCTGGGGAGCGGGTCCCCGGGGGCCTTCCGGGGGGGCAGCACTGGGACTGAGGGCCGCCGCCTGGCCGCCCGCCCACCCGCGCTGGGCAGCACAACCAGGGTGCAGGCCCGCGGGACCCCGTGTGGCAGCTGCCACGCTGGCCGCCGGCCGCCAGGGCCGGGGCTCGCGGTGGCAGCTCTGAAGCCGCTGTCTGCGGTGCTGAGCCGTGTTCAGGACAGACCTCAGGGCCCTCTGCCCTCCACGCTGTCCGTGGTGCCCGGCTCCCAGCTCACCCCGGCGACCATGGCACCGTGTCAGCACTCGGGACGAAGACTAGGGCGACAGTGCCACTCAGAGCCGCTCTGGCAAAGTGTGCCCGCAGCACGCCGAGGCCGGCACAGCCGCCCGAGGGCTGGCCCCACACGCCGCCCCGAGCGCACGGCGGACCGACCGCGTCCGGAGGGCGGGGGCAGCGGTGCCCCAGCCACAGACCGTCCCCGTGAGGCCTGGGAGTGGCCGGGCTCCGTGGCCCGGCTCCGTGGCCCGGCTCCGTGGCCCCGCTCCGTGGCCCCGCTCCGTGGCCCCGCTCCGTGGCCGGGTGAGAGGAGGCGGGCCCGGGCGCCGGGGAGCCTGCCGGGTCTGTCCGGGGCGCTCTGTCACCTGAGAAGTCGTATCGGATGAGCCCCATCCAGCGCTTCTTCTCGCTGTCCTTGACGATGTCGCCATAGAAGCCGTAGCCCAGCAGCGACACGGAGTAGCGCAGCAGCGCCCCCTGGTGGTGCACCGCGGACACGTCCATGGCCAGCGAGTCCCCTGCAGGAGAGGCGGGCGGGGCCGCCTCCATCAGCCACAGCCGCCCCCCACCCCCGCCCCGCCCCCGGCTGCAGCACCGGGGACAGACTGAGGCCAGACGCCGGGGCCGCTGCACAGCTGAACTCGGGGGCCTGCTCCTGAGTCACAGGACAACGGGAGCCGCAGCTGGGGACCAGCGAGGGCCCCCCAGCTCGGGGTCCCCGCGGACGGGGTCCGGGAAGAGCACGGCTTAGGAAATGCAGTCACCGCCTGAGCGGGCGCAGCTTCTCCGGCCTCGGCCCTGACCCGCAGCACAGGCGCCTTCCGGAGGGAGGGCCGAGAGCCGGCACACAGGACAGGACAGGGCAAGGCGGGCAGCCGGGGGCTGGACCTGAGTGGAGGGAAAGCCGAGGGCGGGGCCCCCGAGCCTGGGACAGAGGGGCAGCCCGGCCAGGGCACGGACGCCGAGGAGAGCCGGCCTCACGGTAACGGCCCCCGAGGCTCCACAGCGTTCCGAGCTGGTCTGTGTGTGCGGACCCCGGCGGGGAGGGGAGATGGGGGCCCACCCCGGGGCTCCCCCACGACGAGGGGCCACCCCGGCCTCACCCACGACGATGTGCAGGGCGGAGGTCTTGGGGTCGTTGATGCCGACGGTGGAGTAGCACACACAGTCTGTGGACCCTGAGGAGGAAAAGGCCGGACACTGGCGGTGACTGTGGGAACCAAGGGTCCGGAAAGTGCGTGGCTCCTCCTTTCCCTCCGCCCGAGTGGGGAAGGAATAAACGTGGTTTATCTACGAAGGGAACTCGCCACAGAGGCCGAGCTGTAGGCAGTTCCGCCAGCAAACCCCTCAGCGGGAGTGCGGCCCCGAGGAACGCCTGGGGGGCCACGGTGGGGCCGTCAGCACCTGCCCCCGGCCCCCTCCCCAGGTTCCTCCCCCAGGCCCCTCCCCTGGGCCCCTCCCCCAGGCCCCCCAGCCTACCCCCTGGGCCCCTCCCCCGGATCCTCCTTCCCCCGGGTCCCCCCCCAGCTTCTCCCCCGGACCCCCCACTGGACCCCCCCGGGCCCCCTCCCCTGGCCCCTCCTGGGGGAGTGCAGACCGTGGCAGCTGGAGGTCACAGACGTGCGCGCCCTGGCTGAGCCCGCGGGGGCCGCCGTGGTCCGCACGTGGGTGCCCTCAGAGCGCCAGCCCCGCCGGGCCCGGGGCATGCTGGGAAGCCCGGTCCTCCCAGGTCTGGCTCCGTAACTGGGTCAGAATCCAGGTCACTCTGGGCTGCGTGGGCAGGGAACCCGGCACCATCTCATGCCCGAGGCCTGACCCACGCCCGAGGCCTGACCCACGCCCGCTGACTCAGGCTTGGGACAGGCTGGTCAGGGATCTGAGGAGACGAGCTGAGGAGCTGGAGAGCCCTGGGCGGCATTTCCCATGACAGTCCACGTGGGGGTTCTGCCATCGCTCAGCGCTGCCGCCGCCAGGGCCAACAGGGCTGCCAGGGCCAACAGGGCCGCCAGGGCAGCCAGGGCGAGCAGCCAGACGCTCTGCGGCAGCCCAGCCACCGACAGGTCTCAGCGTCAGTGACGCAGGGAGGCCTCCCAGCCCCCGTCCCAGCCGCAGGTTCGGCTGCGGCTGCCGTGGTCCCGGGTGGGCACGGGCACTGGGCACAGGAGGGCACTGGGCACAGGAGGGCACTGGGCACAGGAGGGCACTGGGCACAGGAGGGCACTGGGCACAGGGGGGCACTGGGCACAGGGGGCGCCGCGTCCTACCTGCGGGAATGACGCCGATGCGCAGCGGGCAGGGCACCAGCGCCGCCCGGGGCTCGTTCTGGTCCACGCCGGCCGCCCTCTGCGTCCTGCCCACCAGCCCGTGCAGCACCTCGCTGAACATGCCGTCCCCGCCGACGCACACCACCCTGCGGGCAGCGCCGCTCATGAGCCCCAAACGCCCCCCAGCCTCCTCCTGGCGCCCCTGCGAGGGCGCGTGTCCCTGAGCAGGACAGGCCCGGCTCCTGGGGACAATCCTCGGCCGCCACACTCCCATAAGCCTATGTAGGCAGCGTGGTCATGTCTGTAACATGCACTCACGCCATCCTATGTACCTAGTGTGGTCATGTCTGTAATGTACATCCACACAGGCCTATGTACCTAGTATGGTCATGTCTGTAATGTGTGTTCACACAATCCTATGCAGGCAGTACGCTCATGCCTGTAACATGCACTCACTATGCATGTATTATGATCATATATTCACATGTAGGTAGTATGGTTGTGTATAACACATGACCACATCATGTAGGCAGCATGGTCATGCCTGTAACATGCATCCACAAACACCTATGTAGGTAGTATGGTCATGTCTGTAATGTACACTCACATAATGTAGGTAGTATGATCATGTCTATAACACACACTCACATCATGTAGGCAGTATGGTCATGCCTGTAACATGAATTCACACAAGCCTATGTAGGTAGTATGGTAATGTCTATAACACACACTCACATCATATAGGTAGTATGGTCATGCCTGTAACATACATTCACATCATTGAGGTAGTAGTCATATGTGTAACACACATTCACACCATGTAGGCAGTGTGGACATGCCTGTAATACACGCACACCATGTAGGCAGGGTGGTCACGCCTGTAACACACGCACACCATGTAGGCAGGGTGGTCACGCCTGTAACACATGCACACCATGTAGGCAGTGTGGTCACGCCTGCCACATGTGTTCGCACAGCCTGTGTCGGGAGGAAGAGCACAGGGAGGTACACATCGGCCGTGGTCTGGGGCCCAGGACGCGGGGCTGAGGGTCCGTTCTCAGCTCGCTGCCGTCGGGAAGGGACGAGGGGGACCGCAGGCGGCGCTCACCCGTCGAAGCCGTCCAGGCTCATCTCGTGCAGGGCCTCCCTGGCGTGGTTGGCGCGCTCCGTGACTGCGGGAAAGGCGGCGTCAGGGCGTGCGGGAGGCAGCGGTCCCCGACTCCCTCGCCACGGACGTTTCTCTCTCGCCCTCTCCCTTCCTCTCTGACGTCAACTTTTAAACATCCACGGCCACATCCCGAGCCCACGTCCGCAGGTGTCCCGGCCCCGCCCCGCCCGCCCGGCGCGCCTCACCGATGACCTCGGTGGCGATGGCGGCCAGCGCGAACAGCGGTGCCACCTTCCGCTCGTAGATGCGCAGGCCCCGGCCCTTCCCGCCGAACGGGTTGATGAACACAAGCAGGCGCTTCGGTCTGCAGGCTGCAAAACACCGCGTGGGCAGGGGCGTGGGCAGGGGGTGTGGGCAGGGGTGTGGGCAGGGGCGTGGACGGGGGCGTGGGCAGGGGCGTGGGCAGGGGGTGTGGGCAGGGGCGTGGGCAGGGGCGTGGGCAGGGGGTGTGGGCAGGGGCGTGGACGGGGGCGTGGGCAGGGGCGTGGGCGGGGGCGTGGGCAGGGGCGTGGGCAGGGGGTGTGGGCAGGGGCGTGGACGGGGGCGTGGGCAGGGGCGTGGGCAGGGGCGTGGGCAGGCCGGTGTCTACGCCTGAAGCCCGGGAGCCTGGCACCACCGGGAAGTCGGCTTCCAGGCCACGGGTCTCACGCTCAGAGACGAGAGGGCCCTCAGGCCGGGGCAAAGGCCCCTCACAGGACACAGCCCAGCACGGCTGAGAAGATCAAGGCTCCGGGTCAGAATGAAGGCCGCTCACCACCACGAGCAGGAGAGAAGCCCTGGCGGTGTGGCTCAGTGGATAGAGTGTGGCCTGCAGTCCCAGGTTCGATTCTGGCCAAGGTGCATGCAGGAGGCAGCCAGTCCCTGTCTCTCCGCCCCTCACTCCCTCCCGCCCGCTCTGAAAGTCAGGGGAACGCACGCCCTCCAGTGGAGATGAACGGAAGCAACAACACGTACTCAGCCTGTCCAGCTGCTCCCGCAGGGCCTGCAGCCACAGGTGGCACAGCTGCTCGTCCCCCACGCAGAACGTCACCGGCTCGCACCGCCAGCGCCGGCGCCGCGCCCGCTTCACGCAGTGCACTGCGGGGACAGAGCCTGTTCCAGGCCGCCCGCCCGCCCGGCGCCGCAGCCACATCCCACAGCCACGGAGCCCATCCCGCAGCCACGGACCTCATCCCGCAGCCACGGAGCTCGTCCCCGCAGCCACGGAGCTCGTCCCCGCAGCCACGGAGCCCATCCCGCAGCCACGGAGCCCATCCCGCAGCCACGGAGCCCACCCCGCAGCCACGGAGCTCAGACCGCAGCCATGGAGCCCATCCCGCAGCCACGGGGCCCACCCCGCAGCCACAGAGCCCACCCCCGCAGCCACGGATCTTTCCCCGCAGCCACGGAGCCCATCCCGCAGCCATGGGGCTCATCCCGCAGCCACGGAGCTCGTCCCCGCAGCCACGGAGCTCGTCCCCGCAGCCACGGAGCTCGTCCCCGCAGCCACGGAGCCCATCCCGCAGCCACAGAGCTTTCCCCGAGGCTACGGAGCCCATCCCGCAGCCACGGATCTTTCCCCGAGGCCACGGAGCTCATCCCGCAGCCACGGAGCTTTCCCCGAGGCCACGGAGCTCATCCCGCAGCCACGGATCTTTTCCCGAGGCCACGGAGCCCATCCCACAGGCCACGGAGCCCGTCCCGCAGCCACGGAGCCCATCTCGCAGCCATGGAGCCCATCCCGAGGCCACGGAGCCCGTCCCGCAGCCACGGAGCTCGTCCCCGAGGCCACAGAGCTTGTCCCGTGGCCACGGAGCTTGTCCCGCGGCCACGGAGCTCGTCCCCACAGCCACGGAGCCCATCCCGCAGCCACGGAGCTCGTCCCGCAGCCACGGGGACTCCCAGGGCCCAGAGGGAAACCCTCCTCCCGTTCCCTGACCCGGGGCCGGGGACAGTGATGGAGAGAGGACGCCCACACCAGAGCCTCCGCGGGAAGAGCTCGGGGAGGCCGTGGCAGAGGCACGAGGCAGACTGTGCTGGGTGACGGTGACAAAGGCCCCTTTCCGGCCGCCTGCGGGGGGCGGGCATCGGGGCGGGCACCAGGGTGGGCACTGTGGGCAGGCATTGTGGGTGGGCATTGTGGATGGGCACTGGGGCGGGCATTGTGGGTGGGCATTGTGGACGGGCACCGAGGCGGGCACCGGGGCAGGCACTGGGGCGGGCATTGTGGGTGGGCATTGTGGACGGGCACCGAGGCGAGCACTGTGGGTGGGCATTGTGGGCGGACACCATGGGCGGGCACCGTGGGCGGGCACTGTGGGTGGGCATTGTGGATGGGCACTGTGGATGGGCACGGGCCGGCATTGTGGGCGGGCACCGGGGTGGGCACTGTGGGCAGGCACCGGGGCAGGCATTGTGGGTGGGCATTGTGGACGGGCACCAGGGCGGGCACCGAGGCGGGCACTGTGGTTGGGCATTGTGGGCGGGCACCGGGGCGGCCACTGTGGGCGGGCACTGTGGGCGGACACCGTGGGTGGGCACTGTGGGTGGACATTGTGGATGGGCACTGTGGATGGGCACTGGGGCCGGCATTGTGGGCGGGCACCGGGGTGGGCACTGTGGGCGGGCACCGGGGCAGGCATTGTGGGTGGGCATTGTGGGCGGGCACCGGGGCGGCCACTGTGGGCAGGCACTGTGGGCGGCCACCGTGGGTGGGCACTGTGGGTGGGCATTGTGGACGGGCACCGAGGCGGGCACCGGGGCGGGCATTGTGGGTGGGCACTGTGGGCGGGCACTGTGGGCGGGCACCATTGGCGGACACTGTGGACGGGCACTGTGGGCGGGCACCGGGGCGGGCGCCGTGGCGAACAGCGGCTCCGTACCTGTGAACGCGAAGGGCGGCTCCATCTTCTGCCACTTCCCGCTGCCATAGGGCCTCCCGTGGCTGTCGGTCTCCTCCACGGCGATGATCTCCGCCACGGGCACCGAGCAGGCGCCTGCAACGACACGGCGGCCGCGTCACCCCCTCGCCGGCCACGTGACCACGGAGCCGCCTCCACGAGGCGGGACCCTCTGCTTCCCAGTCCTTTTTATTATTGTTGTTATCGGTGTCAGAGAGGAGGGGAGAGAGAAACATCAGTGATGAGAGAGAATCATGGACCGGCTGCCTCCTGCACCCCCCGCTGGGGATGTGGGACGCGGGATGTGGGACAGCAGCGAGGCCGCCCCGTCCTCCGCCCTCACGGGCCACCTGCACGTGCTGGAGGCACCGGGCACGCAAACGGGCGTGTGGAAGACGCCGGGGTGGAGCGTGGGCCCATTTCCCACCAGGCGCTGCGGCGCCAGCACCTCGCACGGCCCTCCCCGCCCGACGGCAGAGAAGACAGGGACGGCCTGAGCGGCGAGGGGACGAGACCAGAGCCGCCGGGAAGGTCCCTCCCAGACCGGCCTGGCCTGGCAGAGGCCACGGCAACACCAGCTGCAACGGGGTGGGACGCCCTCCAGCAGACAGGGCACGGGCTGTCCATCTGTCTCCGGGCACAGCCGTCCGTCAGTCCCCCCGGCACAGCCGTCCATCTATCAATCCCCGGCACAGGCCGTCTGTCTGTCCCCGGCACCGGCCGTCTGTCTGTCCCCGGCACTGGCCGGCCGTCTGTCCCAGCACAGCCGTCCGTCAGTCCCCCCGGCACAGCCGTCCATCTATCAATCCCCGGCACAGGCCGTCTGTCTGTCCCCGGCACCGGCCGTCTGTCTGTCCCAGCACAGCCGTCCGTCTGTCCCCGGCACGGGCTGTCTAGGATCGCAGTCAGTGCCTCCTGGTCCCGGGCTGGTCCTGGCCTGTCGGTGGACGGGGCACTGGCCCCGGTGGCCTCTGTGTACAGCAGCAGCTGCCCCTCTAAGGGAGGCCTGAGGACATCTCCGGGGATGGACAGCGCCTGGAGGACGGAGCTCCCTGGGGCCAGGGCGGCCGCGCACCCCGCACCCCGCGCCTCTGCCAGACGCTGGCCAGTGTCTCCGGGCAACGTGCCCGAGTGGCAGTCACGGCCTCATGGGCCCGTGAGCTCAGCAGTCCTCCTGGGGTTGCATCCTCACCTGAGGCTCCTTGTCCTTTGGGTTCTGTGTTTTTAGGAAGAGCAGAGGGGAGGGAGGAGGGGGAGAGAGATGCATCCATGTGACAGACACATCGATGAGCTGCCCCAGCACATCCCTGACCGGGGCCAGGGACAGAGCCTGAGCTGAGGTGCAGGAGCTCGAAGCCAGGGAGCCGGTCCTGGGCCGCGGGAGAGGCCGGCACCGCTGCCGGGTAACCCGTGCCCTCCTGCCCTGGTATACAGCACGAGGGCCTCCCACCAGCCTCTGAGCCCCCCTGTCTGTCCTCCTCCCCCCCCCTGCACCCCAGCCTGGAAACAGCTCCGTCCGCGGCTCCTCTGGTTCTGGGTCACGGACCCTGGCTGCGCGGGCAGGTCAGGGAAACAGGCATCTGAGGGCCCATCTGCCAGCGCACGCTGCTCCCGCCCTCACTGCGCCCTCCCGCCCGGGCACGGCGGGTCAGACCCCAGGGCGTGCACCCCGGCCTGCGGGTGCTCTTTCCAGACCAGCGGACGGCTCTGTGGAAGGTCGGGGTGTATTTTAGCCGCGTGCGTCCTTGGCTTCCACAGCACAGCCATTCCTTCGCGGCAACAGCGATTTAGATTTAACGGAGGGTCAGCCAGTGCCTGCTCTTGTCAATAAAGTTTTATTGGCACGCAGCCGCACACCGTATATGCCCACTGCCTGCAGCCCTTTTCCTGCTAACACGGCGGAGCTGAGAAGCTGACCCACAGAGCCGGACTATTTGCGGCCTGGCCCTTTAAGAAAAAGCTGCTGACCTATTTCAGAATAACAAACGGCAGGCGGTTCACCTTGGAATAATCTCAGGACAATGGCGTTCCCTCCCTCCTCTCCCCCTGCTGCTCAGTCATGTGACCTGAGGAGAACCGAGGCTGGAGCTGAAGAGACAGTGCAGGGAGGACACGGGACACGGACAGCCCGGCGCCTGTCCCTGCCGTGGCTGCCCACGTGTGGCCGCCCACGATTGGGGGTGCACCTTATAAACAGCCACAGCCTGCCCGGGGAGCTGCCACCGGCTGGGCGTCCCAGGGGGAGCCAGGGCAGAACCCATTCCTACCCTTCCCTCCCGCCCCCACCCCCGTACACACACACACACACACACACACACACACACACACACGGCTCTCAGCCCCAACCCGGTAAGACCCCCCTCGGAGTCTGAGTGTGGCCACGGCCGCCAGGGGTGTAATCCAGGCGCAGTGTCAGTCTCTTTCAAGTTCAACCACTCTGCCAGGCTTCCTGTTTGCCGTCACCCCACTTCCGCCAGGGAGCACACGCTGGCCCCCAGCTCCTCGGAGCAGCCTCTCGGGGCGCAGGAAGGCCGGCCCCCACTTCCTTTTGCTCCTGGACTCTCTCGCAGCGCGGCGGCCGGCCGAGCGCCTGGATCCAGAGCCGGCTCCTCCGCTCGCCCTGGCCCGGGCCCTCAGGCCGGCTTCCAGCTCTCTCCTCTGAGCACAGGAGAAGGGGGGGCTCAATCCTCTCCCCGCCTGTCCCCGAGCCCCAGGGCGGCCCCAGCCTGGCCTCCGGGCCTCCCACAGCCTCCATCCCATGTCCCCTCCAGGCCCCGTCCGTCCAGCGGGGCACTGCCCTCTGCCCACGGAGCCCAGTGTCCGGTGTGCCTGCCTCCTGCGGGGCCTGGTGCGTTGGGGGGCGCCAGGAGGAAACCCCCAGGGCCGGCGCTGCTGTGCTCCCCATCGCGGTGCCGGGCAGAGCGGAGGCACAGGCCGTTCCCAGGAGGAAGTCCGAGGCCCAGCGCCGGGGAGGGGGTCCCGGCAGGAAGCTCGGATGCACCCGCACCACAGTGCCCATGGGGGGCAGCGGGTGCCTCCGGGCGGATGTGCCCGCTGGGGAGGGCGTGGGCAGCCTGCAGATGCCGCGGACCCAGAGGGGACGCTGCGGCAGGAGCCATAATAGCAGGCTGCGGGGCCGCCAACGCGGCAGGCAGGCAGGGAGCGTCCCACACGGAGGCTGGCCTCAGGCCGGGGTGGCCACGCTGCTGGCCTTGGGCCCGCCAAGCCTCCAGCTCCGGCCACTGGCCGCGCCGGCTACTCAAACCCTCCGAAGCTCCGTCCCTTGTTGGCAAAGCAGAGGCCCCTCAGGGTGGGCACAGGGACGAGGCAGGCGGGTCGCCCTCCAGCCCAGAGCCTCGGGAGCGGCCGGGCATCACAGAGGGAGTCAGATGCAGGGCCCTGGGGGCGGGGGGCGCGTTGCCAAGGGGGGCGCGTGGAGGGCAGTTCCCGGTATGACATCGCTCCCCCAGGGGACCCCGGAGAGAGACTCCCAGACACCTCACCGCAGGCTTCTGGGGACGCCAAGGCCAGAAACCAAATGGTGGTCACGGGCCTTGACCTTGGTCGGACATACATTCCAACTCGGCCCACCTGCCTGCAGACCTACAGCCTCCGTGGCAGAAAGCGCCTGCAGCACCGGCCACAGCGCCCCCACGGCCCCGGCCGGCCCGGCCAGCCACCGCGGTCCCTGCTCTGTCCACATGGGCCTTGAGGAATGTGAGGCCGGGGAAGCAGCCATGGCACTCACCAAGTCCCCCGCAGCCCTGCCAGTGCCAGGCCGGTGCCCCCCCTCCTTTCCCCCACCTCCCACACGTCCTGCTGGCCTCCGGCTGCCTCGGGGCCTTTGCACTAGCTGCTCCTCCGGCCTGGACCGTCTCCCCATGGCTCTGTCCCTCCAGGCCTGTCAATGCCGGAGGGAGGGGAGGGCTGCTGGGACCCGTCCACGGTGACCTGCCCCCTGCGGGGCTCGCCACACACACACACACACACACACACACACACACACACACGCCCGTGCGCCCCCTCGTCGGTCCCCCCAGTGGAGAATGCCTGAGGGCTGGGGCGCAGCCACGGGCCCTGAGCTGGGCACTGCCCGGGCCCCGGGCCCCCAGCAGCTGGGGCAGAGGAGTGAACGGAGCGGGCACCAGGGCACGCTCACACGCTCACACCTGCGCCCGCTGCCCTGGCCCCCTGCACACCTGGTCTGCAGCCCCGCCTCCAGGATCCAATGACACCCAGGGCCCAGCTTGTCCTTGTCCACCGTCCTCCCCGCATCCGCCCTTTATCTCAGTTCCAGCCGGGCAGGAGGCCTGGTGCCGCCCGTGACCCCCACACGGGCCCGGCAGCGGCCTCTCCGGAAAGCCCCTCCCGCCCAGGCCCCGGCTGGGGTCCCTCCTGGAAGCCTCTGTCCGGTTCCAGGAGCCTGGGGCCGGGCGCCCTGGGACCCTCCTCACTCCCCCCACTCCGTCCCCCGGTGCCCTCAGGTCCGGGGCGGGGACCCGGCCCAGCACCTCCGGCAGGACCCCTCCTCGGCCTGGGGCCGCCTCCCGCGGGCGCCCCGCTCCCGGGGTCCCTGTCCGGGGGGACTGCTCCCCGCCCCGCGGACCCCCGCCCCGCCCCCCATCCCATCCCGCCCCGCAACCCCATCCCGCCCCGCACCCCTATCCCGCCCCGCACCCCCATCCCGCCCCGCGGCCCCAGCACCCCGGCCCCGCCCCGCGGACCCCCGCCCCGCAGACCCCGCACCCGCCCCGCCCCCCCTCGGACCCGCCACTCACCCGCCCCGGGCGCGCCGGCCCCGGGCCCCGGGCTGGGCCCCCAGCGCAGCAGCGCCCGCGCGGGCTCCAGGCTGACGGCGCAGCGCTGCCGCCGCACCCACAGCACCGAGCGCAGCGGCTCGGCCGCCCCCATCGCCGGCCGGGGTGCGGGTGCGGGTGCGGGTGCGGGTGCGGGGCGCGGGGCGCGGGGACGGGCGGGGGGCGGGGGGCGCGGGACCGTTAGGCCCGGAGCGGCGCGCGGGGCGGGGCGGGCGTTGCGTCACCCCGTCGCCGGCTCCGGCTCCGCACGCAGCGCGGCGGGCGGGGGGCGGCGGGCGGGGGAGGGCGCCGGGGGCGCCGGGGGCGGGGGGCCCGGGCGCGGAGGGCGCGGGCGCGTCTGGGAGCCGGGCCGGGCCGGAGCGCTCGGCGGTGGCCGGAGGCCGGAGGCAGGTCCCGCCGCAGCCGGGCCGGGCTCAGCAGCGCCCCCTGGCGGGGCCGGGACGCACGGTCCCGGCGCAGACGTTCGCCCGGGCGTCGCGGGGGCGGCCCTGGGAGGGGGGCGGGACCCACGCCGTCCGGGCCGCCACCCGGGCACGTGACTGGCACCTTCTGGGATCCCTCCCCCCCTTCCCCTCCCTCCGGGCCGTCCCGGGAAATAAGCCGGGAGGTGCGGCCCCCGGGGAGACCCGGTGGAAGGGGCCACCCTCCCCTGTCTGCAGGCCCACCCTGCGGGCCCTGCTCTGGGTCCGGGTCCCTCCTCTGGGTCCGGGGCCCGCGTGCGCACCCAGGCTGCGGGGAGCCCTGAGGAGGCCGGGGCTGCAGGAGCAGCTGGTCCCGGGCCCCGGGCCGGGTGCTCACCGCCAGCCTGCCAGGGGGGTGCTGGCGAGTGGCGCCCGGGAGCCACAAGCCAGGGGGCTCAGGCAGGAAGGCTGGAGGAGGCTGCTCCTGGGCCCGGGGGGACGGGTCAGGAGAGGGAGCTGCTGTCTGAGCCCAGATTCAACCTTCCCTTGGTGGGGGGGTTGCCTCGGAGCAGGTCCCCTCCTTGGCTCCAGGAAGGCCTGACCTGTCCGGTGCCAAGAACAGCCCGGGCACAGGGCACCTGTCCCAGATTTATCAATGAAGACGCTGTGCCCGGAGAAGGCAACGTGTCTTAAAGGCACAGGGCCCAGAAATGGCCGAGGTCTGGCTCCCAGGCCCCAGTCACCTGCCTCCTGTGGGCTCTTGGCTGGGCGTCCCCCGGGGCCTCCTACAGGAGCCGGCCCGGCAGAGGGCGAGCCCACATCCTGGCCGCCGGTGCCTGGCACCACGTCGGCACATGCCCGGCTCCTACGCTGCCAGCACCCATGATTCACGCTCCCGGGAGCCCAGCCCAGCTCCGGCGGGTGCTGGGCGCGCGGAGCCGGCCGGGCGGCCACAGGGCAGAAGGGGATGTGCGGCCCCGCCCCGCCCCGGGCCAGGCGTGCCGGTTCCGCCGCCTCCGTCTCCCAGCCGCTGCTCTGCGGCTCCGGGATCGTGTGTAACTTCTCCGGAAGCCGGACGGCGTGGGCAGGAGGATGGCAGGCCAGGGCGACGGGCAGGGGCCCGGACGCCCGCCTCCCTGCCCAGGCCTCTGCGGCCGCCCTGGCTGGGCTCCCTGCCCTGCTGGGGCCCTGGACGCCGCCCATCGGCCCGGGACGGCCTGGGGTCTGAGTCAGGGGCCCAGAGAGGACACTGGGCCCGGGAGGCCCGAGGCGGGACCCTCACCCTCCTCGCTGCGAGCGCAGAGGCCCGGGTTCTGCGTGGCTGTTATGGGCTGAGCTGCTCCCCCTAACACCCACCTGTTGAACCCTGACCCCGGCCCTCACAAAGAGACTGTGCATGGAGGCTCCAGGGAGGCGGTTACAACAGAGGGAGGTGGTCGGGCAGGTCCCAGTCCGATGGCCTGGGTCCTCACAAGAGGAAGCGGGGCGCAGGGCCGGGCGCTCCTGCACAGCGAGCCCGGAGCCGGCCCGAGACAGAAGCCCCCGCGGAGACCCAGCCTGCCGGCTCCTGGGAGCTGGAACCGGGAGGAAACATTTCGGAGCAGGAGCCGCCGGCTGTGGCATTTTGGGTTTTTAAAAAATATATATTTAATTGATTTTTTACAGAGAGGAAGAGAGAAAGATAGAGTTAGAAACATCGTTGAGAGAGAGACATCGATCAGCTGCCTCTTGCACACCCCCCACTGGGGATGTGCCCACATCCAAGGTGCATGTCCTTGACCGGAATCGAACCTGGGACCTTTTAGTCCACAGGCCGACGCTCTATCCACTGAGCCACACCGGTTTCGGCAGGCTATGGCATTCTGCAACCACAGCGAAGTGGCACGGTGGCCACCCACCCTGGGGGGCAGGGGTCATTCAGGGCTCAGTTGGGAGGGGCCTGGCCAACGCGAGACCAAACCCCGGGGAGAAGGTCGGGAACGGAGCCGGGGTTTTGGGAGACCCAGTCCCTGCAGCTGAGCTGACGGGAGAGGCTGGGCCCGGGTCAGGCCGGGCCTCAAAGCTGCGGGCTGTGGGAGGGAAGAGGCAGCTTCGCCCTGGGCGCTGCCCGGCCTGTGCATGCCAGGAACCGGCTGAGAAGGCCCCAGCGACCCAGTTCCCCTGACAGCGTCCCCACCCCCTCGCCCACCTCTGCTGGCATGCACACCTCCCACGCTGGGCCTGGCACAGTGCCCTTCCCGCATGCCTGTCCAAAAGCCCACTCAGCCTCCTCACCCACCTCCCCTCCCTTCATGCCACCGAGTGCCCGGCAGCCCACAGTGTGGGCGTCACCCCGGGGGCTCCCCACCCGCCCTCTGCCACATGCGGGGCTTCAGACTGTGCCGATGCCCTGCAGGCAGTGGCGGTGGCCTGGCTGCCAGCCGGGCCAGAGAGCCTGGGCTCAGCCCGCATCAGGGAGCCGCCATCCATCAGGCCTGCCACCTGCCCGCTGCCACCTGTCCCTGTCCAGTCTGCAGCCTGGGCTGCCGCCCACGTCTGGGCAGCTGGTCGCAGCCTGACATCCTGGCCCACAGGCAACACCCACCGCCTGGCCAGGTTACTGCGCACACCGGCTGCCTGGGCCCTGAGAGCTGCCTGGGCGCACGGCGTTGCCACCCAACACCCCCTGGGTCACCCATGCCAGACCCACGGGCCCCGCCTGCCCAGGGCCCTGGCCACCATCGGGCTAGGCGCCGGCCGCACCTGCCAGATCATCCCCGCCTCGGCCTCTGACCTACTTCCCCTCTGCCCCAGAGGCCCTGGCCTGGTTATGGTGACCGCTGTCTGCACAGGCTGGCTCCCCCCCCAGGCAGCCTACACATCCGGCGGCCAGGAGGACACTGCGCCAGCCGCCCGCGTAGCCTGCCAGCAATGCCCCCCTGGAGGAGGAGCGTCCAGCTGCGGCTCATCCAGGCGGCCTGCCTGGAAGAAGCATCCGGGCCCAAAGAGGCCCGAACATGTGGAGCGTGTGCTGCTGTCTGACAACACTGATCCCCCGTGGCACACGCGACCCCGACGGTCACCACTGGCCCCGGAGCGTCTGCCCACGTGCAGCGGGGAAGACGGAGGCCAGGGAAGGAGCCTGACCCACAGAGGTCATGCAGAGAGGTCACCGGATGGGCGGCTGCTCCAGGCCACACGGTGGGAGAGTCTGAAGCCTGGGACCAGAACCCGCCTGAGCTGGCCCTCAGCAGCCCCTGCCCTGGGCCGGGCCAGGCGGCTCTGCCCTGCAGGACACGCAGGACCGTCCGGCCTGGCCTGCTCCTGCCCCTCAGACTCAGCTCCCGGAGGTCAGAGGCCGCGCCGTGGGGACGCCCAGGCCCAGCTGGAGCGGAGGCGGCCGCAGGTGCAGTCTGTGCGGCGGGGCGGCCGAAAATGCTTCCCAGGGCACCGGGGCCTGGGCTTCAGGCACACCCGGGAGCGGGGGGCACCACACCAAGGGGGGCCCCAAAGGAAATGTTGGAGGTGGGTCTGACCCCGTGGGCTCCCAGGCCGCCGGGCCCTGCTGGGATGCCTGTCCCTGTACTGGGCCGGCCCCCCTCCGTCCGAGGTGAAGCTCTGGGGCGGGCAGTCCCGGGGGCCTGGGGACCGGGGTCAGGTGACCTGGAGGAGCGCAGGGTGTGGCCGGCGCTGGGGGAAAGGCCGGCTCCCGCTGGGTGAACTCTGGGGCGGCCCCTGGGGGAGGGAGACCCTCGGTCCCCGTAGGCAGGGGGTGGGTGGGATACGGGCCTCAGGGGCAGGGAGAGCTCAGGCGGGCGGCGGGCTGTGGGTGCCGCCCTGGTCTCAGCACAGGGTCCTCTGGGGTGTGTTGTGGTCTGACTCCCGTTAAAGGCTGGGAGCTGCACAAGGTCCGGGGCTGGGGCAGGGGTGCGGGGAGGCCCCCGTCCTGGGACACCTGTGCCCAGCCCCAGCTGCGAGAGGCCCGGTGCCCCCGTTGGGGGTAAGGCCGCTCGCTGTAAGGAGCTAATTATTAATCACAGGCAGGAGCGGCGGAAGGCCCGGCCTGTTCCCTGCAGGACGCCAGGGAGGGAGCAGAGAGAAGACAGATGGGCGCCCAGGGAAGCTGGGGAGATGGAGGCCAGCGCCTGCCCTCAGCAGCACCTGGGGGCAGAGGTCACGGCCAGAGTGGGCGTGGCCATGGCAGGGCGGGATTGAGGGTAGTTAATCCTCTGAGCAGGCTTTGGTTGGCCTCCACACACCAGGCTCACGGCTCACACTTGGCTTCCTGGTGTTCTGCGTGTGGCCCGTGCTGTGGCCCCCCTCGCCCCATGAGCTCCCCTCCCCCCTACGGACTGGACCCGGCTCCCACATGGAGAGGAAACTGCACACCGGCTCGGCGTCTAGCTCTGCAGCACCCCAGCCTCACCCCAGCCACACCCCAGCCCCACCCCCAGCTGCACCCCAGACGCACATCTATGACCAGCCAGGGAGCACGGCTAGAGCAGAGCCGTAAACTGCGATGCTCAGCGATAAGGCAGCCGCCGGCTGTTTATTTGCCTTTTTATGTGGAAACACGGAGAACACGGCCCAGGCCCGGGAGCCGGCGGCCGGCTCGGCGGGGGAGAGGGGGGGCCGGTGACTGTACGGGGCCAGGTGTGAGGGGGTGCGGGGAGGGATGGGCTGCGGGGTGCCTGGGGCACGCACGAAGGGAGAA